GCGTAAGGCCTGGCAGACCACCAAAACTGTCCCTGTCAGATAAACAGTATTTTAAGCTTTCTTTTTTGAGAGAGAGGAGTTGTTGAGACTTGTAAGAAGGTGAGACGGTGTAATTTTCTGTTAAATGTTTTCTGCTTTTTTCCTGGCATTGAAAAATGTTGTTTGAGGGGTGGTCCCTGATTGTTTTTGCACCATTAGTCCAATGTCCAATTCCCAAAACAAGACCGCAGTGCCTTGTGAATCCATAATTAGCACAGACAAGTAATTTTCTTAGACAAATTTTCTATACATACAGAGTCTGAAAGGCTTCAGTTGTAGTGCAGAGGATTTTATTTTCTTCCTTTTGTGGTTGTCTTTCATATGATGTAGTGTTTTATTAGAACAGTGGAAATCATTAAGATTTGTCTCAGTATGTCTGATATTACGGATATTTTTACAGCATAAAATCTGTATTTGATTCACAGCATCTATCATCTTGCAAACCCCATTAAAAATTTAATAAGCGTATTGTAACACCCCTAATTATCACTGATTCGTGAGAACCCCCCGCCCCTTCCCCCAGGCCACTGTAACAGCATGTTCCACTCTCTGTCAGACTGAGGCAGACAGAGCGGATCTGCAGCACAGCGCAGTATCACTCAGCTCAGGAAATGTAACCCAGCCACTCCCCTAGCATTCTGCACTAATGCTCTCCAGCTGCCCCACATTAATGCACTGACTTGTCCATTATAGGGGGGATCTGCAGATGTAACTGAATTGGAAAATAAACTAAATTCAGACTCTTCTTCGTATAGCAGCGGTGTGCTCAGGGCCATTTTTATTCCTGCTATTATACAAAAACATGACAGCAAAATGCTACAAGGCATGCATTAGCAAATTCTCAATAAGTGTGTATGGAGCTTATTGGCTAAAAATGTTAATTAGCCTTTCATGCAGAAAACGCTTGCTTGTATCTTCAAGCCAATGTCCAATCCAATATGTTTCCTGACCCTGGTCAGTTACAACGACTCTGATCCTTGTATCCCATACATTAAAACTCTCTCGCACACGCATCCTGCCTCACTTTGTTCATTCCAAAATAAAAGGATTTATTATTACAGCTACTGAGTGCTGATTGGGTGATAAACTAATCAGCTCATTGGGTGATAAAGTGGTTTGCACTCACTGACATCATGGGTGTGCATGAGGCACGTTTACTGGTCCTATAACTGGAGTTGAAAAGCATTAAAATATGATGGCAGCAGGTTTTGTACCGTTCTGTGTTGAGAAAATAAAGCACATTTGTCTGAAAAATACAATTAACCACTTACAAATTGATATTTTGCACTTTAGCTCCATAAACCCACATTCATTTTGGACTCTTTTGCGAGCGCCCTCTAGCGTCTGATCAACCCGGAAGAGATTATTGAGTGGCACATCTTCTCACTAGAAATTCTCAGGTGTGCTTCACATATACAGTCGTTGTTGTGCTTGCTCAGACTGAAATGAATCCTGTTCTACCATGTGTAAAAAGGGGATGTTATCCATTATGCTATCCATCTAAGTCAGTTTAAACAAAGGGAAATTCCCAAATTCACATGATACACATGTGTACCAGTGCACTGGCAAGCTAAAATTATTGGTTGCAATTGTCAGACATAATTCCAATCAGACTGCTAATAATATTTAAATTAGTGATGTACTGAAATAAAATTCTTAGTCAAAACCGAAATTTAGGACATACCAAAACCTGAAAAAAACAAAAAAAACTAATAATAAATAAGAATAGTTCACATAAAATAAACTTAGTAAAAGTAATGATAGTATTCTAAGGACGTCACAATCACGCTGCCACCATTTTGGTAGGCAACATGAAGTTCATTCAGCAGTGCTGTGGTGGCTGAAATTAAACAACAAAGCCATGAACCAATCCAGCAGACAAGTCTCCAGCACGTTTTTTAAACACTTTTTAAAATCTTATTTTAAAGCGTATTAACGGATATATTTGAGTGCATTGCCTTGTTTCACTTGATTTGTTGCTGTAGTGATAACAAATGAAAGCTGAAATCTAAATGGCTGAGATTTCCGGATGCATTATTAGTGCGCCGCTCCAAACTGCATATTGGCACACTAAATAGTGTGTAAAAAGAGTGCATATACCTTTAGAAGCACACTCATTAGTGTGGTAGGTAAAGTACAGAAGTGTGTGGTTTGGGTGTTTACACACCTTTTCTTCCTTTTCATGGTCATTCTGATCTATTTTGTTTTTGGTCTCCAGCCACCTGCAGGGTTGTAGCTGCAGTAATGGTGATGAGACAAGCTCTATCAGAGCACAGACAGAGTTACTGTTAGCCTTCCAACATGGAAACGTGGTCTTCTTAATGACGCAATCGAATACTATGAATTACAGTATGTAGGCTGCAGCATGTGCTACAAAATCCAACACTGGAGAAGTTCTCGGGAACTGTACCACCCCCGCCCCCCCTTGACATTTGGCATGAACAGAGGTTACAAATCACTTGTCTAATGTCCCTCGTAGAAACAGAGAAATGGTTCCGCACAGCTGACATTTTCACCGTTGATCCGCTGCTGCTCAGACCATTTGAATGTGTCTGCACTGACTGCCACAGGAGAGTGAAAGGAATAAGCATTTAATAACTAATGTCTCATTTTCATTATCGTTAAAATTATTCACAAACTCTTTGATTTTGAGATTTCTTTGTAGGCCTAATTAATCTTTTTTCAGTCACAATTCTCACTGTTTTTTTTCTTTTTTCCTACCATTTTTTGGAGGAAATTTTCAGTGGCCTAATTTCGGTGTGTTCCACTGCAAATAATATCAGCCACTAATATTGCACACCTCTGCGAAAACCTCAGCTTGTATTCAATTGTAAATTCAACAACAGGCAGGCAGCTGTTTTTCAATCACGACACATAAAACAAATGTTTCCTTCCTTCCTGTTCCCAAGGACGCAAAAAGAGTATCATAGGATTAAGGCTCATGTACGGAACTTGTGACCAAGCTCATTTCTGTAATGCTTAGCGACAACAGCTGTAGACGGGCAGACAGTCAGAGAATGAGAGATCAGACTGGGCATTAGCACTCAGCCAACTCCACCGCAGCTCTGCAGACCCAATATAGCAGCTACTGCAAGACTGAATTTGCTATGCAGCACTGGAGAAGAGCAGATGCAGCATGTCAGAGACACATATAACTGCAGACACATCCACTTTTTCACTGGTGCAGGTGAAAATTTAGTCCTCTACACTTAAAAAAATGGTATTTTTCTGCAAATTTTGAAGCATAATTTTTAGTTATATGTTGAATTTAACATATAAAAAAACATAAAATATAAAATGTGCTATAACTTTGTGCATGCCACATTTTATGTTCTATTTCCAATGTGTTAAATTCAGCAAATAAACAGTAATTGTGCATTATATTTGCAGAAGTGTGTTCTCTGTAGAGGGACTTATTTTCACTTGCAAAATCAACATCATGTGACCAGGGGTGTCCAAACTTTTGCATATGACTTTAAGATCAAAAACTATGAATAAAAAAATTATTTTTATTCAGTGTTTCACATCCTGCACTAAACTAAATCCAAACTGGACAAATTTAACTATGTATTGAAACATGCAGTTAGTCAGTGCTCTTTAGGTAATGACAATATTAACAATATGCTCAGAAAGCATACTGTGACGTAATGTGATGCAATTTATGATGATAACGATAAATATCATCATACTGTACATCCCTAATGCAAATATAGGTATATTATTTGACCAATGAACTTAAACCTGAGAGTTTATATATAATGTTAAATATAATAAAATATGTAAAATAATTGTAAAGCTGAAACATTTTCTTTGGGTACTGTTTTGCCTTATAGCACCCTGCATGTACCTCTCCACCCGGCATGTGTTTTAAAATTAAGTTTTAGGCCTTCAAACCTTCACACAAAACTATTGTAAAACTATGTTGGCAACACGTTTATAACCACTAAATGTAATAACTTTGTGTGATGTAGCTTTTAGAGGCATTAAACGCATCATATGTCTAGTTCTTGTCACCACCACTGTGAAGAATTCTGAATTTGTTTACATCTTAATGACTGACTTTTGAAAACATTTGACAAATATGTGAAATTCCTTTTTAACTGCAATTGCTTTTTAATTTTTTATTCTGCTTACAAGATATTTTCCCTGTATTATCAATAACAATGGCAGGCATTGCATGTTTTTAGGGGACTTGATTACCCAGAAGAAAAATTCACATTATCAGTACAATTCTGTAAAACTCAAGTAATGAACTCCAAGATTTATTAGAGCAACACTGCTCAGTCTATTTCTCAACAATTTCATATCATATTTCATTGTTCAGTTACTCAGGCCTTACAACATAGCCAGCAGCAACATAGACATGTCAGAAATAACCTGCCATATCATTGACCCATCTTCTTTGCCTCAGGAGCAACAATAAACAAAATAGACTCTGATCTCACAATGCTACACCCTCGTAACAGTCTGGACTGTTGAGCGAAACAATTTATGGCCGCTGGGCTGTACAGAGTTTCACTTCATGAGACACAGAGCTGAAACTGTAGCCCATACATGGCTTTGGAGGGGAGGAACCACATGCTGGCCATATACACATCCATTTTAAGCTTTCACATGACCATAAATGTATTAGCCCTTGTGTGGTAAATAATTACTGACCGGATTTTTTGCACACAAAAACAATGTAAAAAACACGATTAAGGGAAATCTTGGTGGTGCAAGATAGGAAAATGACCATAGTTTTTAAATCGCCTGTGTATTGCAAGGGAGTTATCAAAGAGATGCATTTAGATACAGAGGGGAAAAAAACATTAAACAAAGTGAGCCAAAAAGTTGTTATCGATATCCTGTTTCCTGTCTGTCTAACCTGGGAGTCTAGAAGGGACGCCAGCTCCACACTAAAAATTTCCACACTCAAAACAGATACATTCAATTCCAACAGCAGTGGGATGACTCTTTACCTATGTAATGCACTACGCATGTCTGCCCCTTCTTTGGAAAGGTTCTTCCTGTGAACAAAAGACAGAAAAACAAAGAAGACAATGAGACGTGAACTTTCGGTGTGTCATGAGTTAGCTATGCTGATAAAAACTAAGCCAAGTGCTGGTGATATCTTTACGCTTGGTGTTGAAAGGAACTTTTAAACCCATGTTTCCTTTGCACATTTGGAAAAAAGTGATGGTTTTTAGCTGAAAAAGAAAAATAAAATCAGACAAAGCGTATAGATTTGTAACCTGGGGCTTTATTCTAAAGTATCTCTAAACAGGCAAGTTTATAAATGTTTACTGCACAACATATGCACAAAGAGCAAATATATAAGAGTTATTAAGTAAATTAATGCAGTTGTGTTACACCAGTCACATGGACTCTATCTGGTCTTTGTACAAAGCCAACATTGCACAGTGCTTTACCAACTAGAGTTGCACGATATATATCAATTGTTAGTCATTATCACAATACTGGCCTTTGCAATACTGATACTGCAGAAGGCTGACAGGCAAATGCGACTCCAACAAATCAAAAAATAGTTTACTGTGTGCTGTGAGCACCCTGACCAAATTCAAGAGGGTCAAGATGAGTTTTCTTGGGTTTCTTATGATTCCATACATAACATATGTAATATATTGTCTATAGTTGAAACAACCATACAATAAAATTCATCATATTCATTCATTTAAATACCCGAAAATAAAAAGGCCATTTAAACAACCAATCTTTTTACCTACTTAAAACCACATGCTTCTGTGGATCGGGTGTTATTAGCCTGACGAGAAAACAAAGTTTAGTTTATAAAGCTAAACACGAGCAAGCCACCATTAGTGCATATAAAGAGCGCAAGATAATCTGCCAGCATATCACTTAAAAACAGCAACTTATGATTAGTCTTGTTTCATGTCCATCAAATGGTCCTTTCCTGTAAAAGACATGCTGATATCTTAGTAATAGTCATAGGGATCAGGCTGTTGAGACTCCAATCCGTACTGTCTGTGTTAGAGCTCCAATTTGAGGCCATAGCGCACATTTATAGGTAGCACTCTACATAAAACTATAGGTAGGATATTCTGATAGCATAATGACCTTATCAATTAAGTGTGTATATTACACTCAAAGCAAGGCTGAAATGACATTAAACATAACTAAACATCAGAAAAACTAAGTTACTATACTATACTATAGATGTGTGAATGTTAACAGCCTCTTTAAAGTGGTTCTTATATGGAATCAGCTAAAAATCCCTTGTGGTACCTTTATTTTTAAGAGTACTTATGTAAAAATGTATGTAAAAGTACATCATTTTGGTCAAAGTTCAGGCTGATGGCACATCAACTGCTCATCTATGTGCTTTAGATACACTGCAAAGTCTATCACAACTGAATTATGTAGCAAAATAACCACAATGTGGCATTTTATTCATATTGCGCAGCCCTAGGTCTGAAACATATCAATGTGCTAGTGTGAACGTGAGTAGTTGTGCATGTGTATGCGTGTACTGCAGCCTGGTTCCTCTGTGGACATGAGAGGAATTTATGCCGCATGACAGCAGGCTAGGGGGGTAAGATAAGATGTCGGTCAAGAAGAGGGTACGGATTCAAGAGAGCTGCAGAGACGAGAACAGTGAAAGAGATATTACCAGAGAGGTTTACATTTAACGCGTTCTTGACACTGGCAACCCCTGCATGCAGTTTGTATGCTTGTTTTAATGTGAAAAGCTTTTTTATTAGTAATTTTTTTATGATTATGTATTTAGTTGCTTGTTTCTTTTGTCTGTTGACCAAGCCCACCACCACTCCGAGCTTCTACTTTCATTTTATTGTAGTTTTTACATTATTGGACGAGAAAGGCCCATTATCTGTGGATCATGAAGTGAGTTATGCCCTACTTTAGGGTGGGCAATATGACAATATTTTATTGCATTGTGATAAATTTAGCTACAACACACAACAATGTGCCTTTCTGCGCATATCGTGGACATGGTCAGTATTTAAAAACACTGACCACTTGCATGTTTCAAGGCAAAGAGCATTATTAGGCCTTCTGCGATGGACTGGAACACTAAATAAAATTCCTTCTAACTTTTACTCATAGTTTTGATTGCAGTTGGCACTATTGATGCATTACTTAAACTTATCACACATATTGGGAAAATATCCTGGAGTATCGTGATATTTTATTTTTGCCCTGCTTATTAATCTCAATGTGGTAAATCTATATCACAACCTATTTATCTTAATCTTAATACATGTCATATGGGCCTTTGGTGGCATAATCGTCCCATTATCTTACAAAAAAGTGACATATGTGACATAAAACACACTGAAAAGCACCACACTTTAATTGCTGGAAGTAATGTATCATTTGTTAAGAGTTAATAAAGCATATACAGAACAGCTATAAACAAACACAAATTAATAGTATATAATTGTCAATTATTGCAGTGCTAACCAAAGCAAGACAGAGCGATGGCAGAAAAGAAGAGCAACAAGTGGTCGCAGTGGAAAGCCCACAGCGTGCAGTGTAATAGAGAGGTGGGCTACCAAACCCAGCCACTGCAGCCAAGTTAGACTGCAGAGCCTCGGATTAGCCATCAAAGCTCCTGTCTAGCCGAGACGGGTCTGGGCGTTTGCTACAAATAAGTTCACAACATGAATTTGATAGCTTCTTACACTATTGAAATGAAGTAATAAACATATTTCTGGCAAACATTTTAAACCTTTGGGAGCAATAAACCAAACGGGAGTATGCAAATGGGCAGTAAATGTATAGTAGTCTACAGTTTCCATTCATTGCTGGTCCAGTCGTTAATTCCCTGGCTAGACAGGGCAGAGATCTCCAGCCTGTAACCTAATATGCCTGGGGAGTTGACGTCGGCTGGCTAATTGATTTGAAACTAACGTTATAGTATATAGTGTTCATTAAGCCGTTGCCATTCCAGATTAAGCTGCGTGTCAGCCGTACATTGCATTAAGCTGGAGAACACACAGGGTGGACAGCACAGCGAGCCAGCACTTCTACATTTCTCCTCACAAGGCTGCATCTGTGTCCATGCAGTAAGTTAACGTTATTAGCCAGCTACGGTGCAGGAAAAAACACCAGGCGTTCTGCTTTTCTAGGCTTTCATCTGTTGAGAAAATGTGTTTGTAGTGCAGCAACTTACCATCTCCCGGAGATATTGTTTCCACTTCTACACCCATTATGGTAAAACGGTGGTTCCTTGACCATAAACCGGAGAGAAAGAGGAGCAGGTAGCGGTGTTGATGGGGGACCGTGTTGTAGCTACCGCTACATGCAGCCACAGCACTCCGCCCACTGGGTCATGGAAAATCAGCCAGGGATGATTTTCTGTCCTGGGTTTCACTGTGTTGATAGCGAAACGGGAGTCCCTAACTCACTGAGCTGTGCTGCCCCGTCCTTATTCCTTATTAACCTGCGTGACTCTCCTCTGTTTTTTCTCTCGTTGGCACCGATATGTGAGCCAAAGCACAGCCTTACATACTCGGTATTTTCCTGAAGGTTCTCTCAGTTTCCTCAACACAGCAGCCCCCCTTCAATACAACAGCCTCCCCCCTTCTCATGGTTTGTTTGCGGTGAGCCAAGCCTCAACTTGTCCATCACTCCATGGAAATATGGTCTACTAAAAATAATTAGTAGACCAATTACAACTTTTCCCTGGACAAAGTAGGCAGTGACCACAATGATTAAAGCATCACAAAGCACAGACTAATAAGCTAGTACAACTGCTGATATCAGCAACCAGTACAGCTGTTCAGGTTTACCACAAAAAAACACAAAAAACTACCAAAGTCTGACAATAGCATAGAGTACTACTGCTATTACTATTACTACTAGTACACATACTACTACTACTACTACTAATAATAATAATAATAATAATAATCATAATAATAATAGAAATAAGAATAACAAAAAGTCCTGTTCTACTACAACAACCATAATACTACTACTATTATTATTACTAATTACTACTGCACCCACATCTAATAGTGGTATCTAATTGAAGCTTACTAATCAAAAATACTTTGCTGCGGGGATTTACTACTTAATTGAATTGTTTTAGCCGAGCCTTCAAGATCAGAGTAGACTGGAATTTAATTGCAATAACGACTCTACTACTACTACTGAATAATAATAATAATAATAATAATAATAATACATTCATGTTTTATTTACTTATACTAAACTGCTTGAAACAACTTTTAGGCTCAATAACAGTTTAATCTCGGAGGAACAAGTCTGTAAATCATTCTCTCCTAGTCAGCAGCCGCCTATTTGGCACAAAGACATCAACTCCCAGAATGCTTTGCTTTATTGTAAGCCCGTTTGTCCAACCGTTCAAATGTGTCCGTGTGGAAACTCTTCAAACGCCGGTATTTCGTTTGTTTTGGGGGACAACACGCGTGATGGTATGTTTGTAGCTCCATTATATGTTTCCAGTGTGTTATAATTTCAGTTTGTAGAGTAACGTAAAAAGCACCTAACATTTTTAATTGGACATTATCAGCTTCTCGCTTTAGTAAACCAATGTGAACAAATAATTACTAGCGTTAAGTACGCTAAAGTAAGTTAACCTCGGTTAGCACGCTCACCGACGTTACCGTTAGCTAACCTAGCTTAGTTAGTCCAGCTTTTGCAAAGTAATGATAATAAAGAATAAAGAAACTTCGTTTCTGTCAGTTTTGAGGTTCATGGAAAGGTTTTTAATAATACGTTTATTTTTCAACCGGAGAGGTAGTCTGAGAGGTGAAGAAAGAACGTTAACTTTAAATATGGACAGTGTTGGCTTGAAAGCGGCAGCTTACGGGGTCATGCCAGACTAATCTGGTCACCCTTGAGTGCAGCTCCCTCTCGATAGGATTAGGGATTTCACATTTCCGCAGACCGGGGCAAGAAGCTTTAGGCTAACTATTCTAAGTGTGTATGCGATGTCCGTCTTTGCGTGCTGAAGCAAAGACTTGCAGGGTTCTCTTTAGATACCATCTATAGAACAGAATTGGACTAAATGCCTTTCATTAATCTGTGTTTTTTCTTTTGAATTGACATACAGGAAAAGCATGGACCTAGGAAAAGCCAAACTTTTGAGGACTGGATTAAATACTCTGCACCAAGCCATTCACCCTGTACATGGGATAGCCTGGACTGATGGGAGACAGGTCTGCCTCACTTCTTTCTACTATGTCAGTGGTGAACCCAAATTCGGCGACACTAATGTTATTGGACAGTTTGAACATGTCTTTGGACTTTTCTGGGGACCTCTGTGTTGCTCCGGTTCTCCCGCTCTGCTCGCTGTGCAGCACAAGAAGCACGTCACGGTGTGGCAGCTTCAGTTGAGCGCCCTGGAGCAGAACAAACTGTTATGCACTCAGACATGTGAAATGAGTGAGCCTTTCCCACTGCTCTCTCAGGGCTGTGTGTGGCATCCCAGACTAGACATCTTGGCTGTTCTGACCAAGCGAGACGCCTCTGTTCTGTTTTCTGTGCGTGTGGATAACCGGCGAGTGAAGGCAGACATCCGGGGCAGCGGTCTGATCCACTGTGCATGCTGGACTAAAGATGGAACTCGATTGGTGGTCGCCATCGGCAGTGCTCTTCATTCCTACATATGGAATGACATCCAGAAGAGCTTGGTGGCTTGCTCCTTTTGCCCCATTTTTGATGTTGGAGGCTATATCTGTGCTATCGAGTCTACAGATGAGGCTCAGGTAGCTGTTGCCACTGAACTGCCGCTGGACAAAATCTGTGGGCTTAATGCAGGCATTGCCTTCGACTTGCCGACTGAATCTGAGCCGTTGTCCTCTCAGCAGTCCCCAGTAGTGATGGTGGACGAAGATGTTTCTGTGGAGTCCAGGAGAAAGTCATTTGATTCTGAGCGCTCGCTGCCTCTAGGGTTCCTCTCATCCTCTGGTCCCATCGACCTTACGAACATTTTGGCTAAGCACAGGAAGTCAGACCCCAGCCCTCTTATTCACTTAAGACGGCGGGATCACTTGACGGGAACAGGTCAAGACTCGTCTCATTTGATTTTGGTGAAGTATGAGCGGAAGGTCACCACCACCAGGAAAGTAAGCATCCCTGGCATCCTGGTCCCTGACATCATTGCCTTTGACCCCCGAGGGAGCACCGTAGCAGTGGCTTCCAACACCTGCAACATGGTGCTGGTCTACTCCATCATGGCATCCTCCATGCCCAATGTTCAGCAGATTCATCTACAGAAGAACGAGAGACCTAAAGGCTTGTGCTTCATCAGCAGCAAGATGATGCTGCTCATGGTCGGCCGGCAGAGATCCAACGACCCAGCTTTCCTTCCGTCCTCAAACACAGACAAATATGTCCTCAGGCTCATGGCTAAGGAGCTTTTGTTCGATGAGGACACGACTTCTCCAATTGTACAAAAGCCTGAGTCTCCCAGTAATTTTGTTGGGGTCAGGAGGCATTCAGAGAACTTCTCTAAAGATCTCGCGGTAAAGGACCTTGTCCTGCCAGGAGGCTCGGTAATCCACTCCCCAAACAGCAGGAGGAAGCTGATTGAGGAGTTGCGCAGCTCAGAGCCCAGTCCGGTGCCAAGCTCAGTTGACTTCTCAGACAGAGCCACGTCCAGCGCCTCTTCTATTACAGTGGAAAACTACGACATGGATCATGTCAGTCGCTTGGCCACGCTAGCAGTAGCTGGCCAGGCTAGCCGTGAATCAAGTCGACCATGTTCTCCGCGATATGAGCCTTCAGAAAAGCTGCTCTCTGATCCTCCTGTGCCACAGAACAGCTGTCTTACAAAAGAAAAGAATCTGGAGCACCTTACGCACAACATGGAAAGGTTATTTTCCCGCTTTGATGAGGTGAGGCAATGCCTCACAGAAATCAAAGACTTCACTCAGAATGGAAGAAAGGCCATTGTCAATTACCCAGCTGCCTGTGAGCCGCAGTATGTCTACGTTACATGTCAGGTATGAAGTTAATAACTATGTGTTTACCCTTAAGGATAGTTGGGAGGTTCTCAAAGACAATGAATGACACTGTGACAGTTGTTTAAGAGCTTTAAGCATAACTTGTCATGACTGATTTCTATTTCAAATTCTCGTTTGGCAACACACTGCATTTCACATTTGAGCACAGCACTGTCACTTCTGTGGCCATTGCCAACAGATTGACTTGGCTTTGTTTGACCTTGAAAGGGCTTGTCTGAGGTGGTCAGTTAGACTTAATCTATATCCCATGACTGCTTTTGTGTGGCGCGGTCTCATGTGAAAATGTACACATAGTAAGCCTAAGTAGCCCACACTTTATTGCACTCTACTAAACAGTGGCTTATCAAAATGCTTGTTTATCAGTCCTCAGCCACTGCCTTAAATGCTTATCAACAGTTAGAAGTCAACATTCACACATTATTTCCTTCTCTTCTTAAACAGAAGCAGCTGTCAGAGAATGTGTACACAGACGAGAGGAGACCGGTGCTGTTGTGCGAGGGAAGGCTTAACCTTCAAGTAGTTCAGGAGCTCTTCAGACTGACCATTGTGGAGATGATGCATGGTATGTCAGCAGTATCACTATCTTTGTTACATATTCACAAGTTTTTTTTTGGAGCAGTAATTAATTCCACTTTAAGATTTATCACATTAGCTTCTTATTCAGCTTTGCAAGGCATAAAAGAGGGGCTTGATTAGTGCCCAGAAAGTTGTTGGCATGCAAAACCTTTTTGATGATCTGCTGGCTGATGCTGATGAATTTTCCACACTGGTAAACAAATCCTTTTGTAGAATTGTCAGGAAAATGAGCTAGACTTAGTTAGTACACTGGAATTAATTTTGTTATGCACACAATTAGGGTACGATTGAAATGTATTTTTTTTCTTTAGACTTTTACAAGCCATTTGGCTGCAGATAATTGGCAGTGACTGAAATAGATGGTGATTATGGGCCTAAATCCAATTGAAGGTTTAAGTCAGATTATAGCCTCACTTGTGACGTGCACCTTTGTTGATAATGTATGCCGAGACCATCCTAACATCCGATATTTATGCTATGACCTCAGTTTACAGTAAAGGATTTATGCATTTTTTTTTTTAAACTGATGAATTTTATGATTTGAAAGGTCTATTCATATGTCTTTAAGAATTATTGTATTTAAGACAGATTATGTTGCTGGCATTTAAGATGTGTATCCGCCTTCTTCCAGGACCGATGTGGATTATCCTGGTGGCTGATGCTGATGGATTTGTACCGCTCACCTTCAAGCACAAGGAGGAGCTCACGGTACGGAGTGCAACAAGGAAGGCTCCCTTGAAGTCTTTTAGTATCGCTGATGATGTGTTTCCTGAAAATGTTCAATCTCCTAACACAGAAAAATGATTTCCTCTGAAACGTGTTTGAGCATAAAGATTTACTGGACATCATGTTTAAAGGCTTATGTTTAAGACAATGCCTCACAATTCATGTTTACAAGGCACTAGTGGCTTTTCTGTAGTGCTGCCTTTGTAAATCTGTGTATATGCAGTGTAAGACCAATACGATGACTATATTTTTGTATTTCTGCAAGCAAGTAATTGAGTGCCTGCTTTAATGGTTTTCTACTGTTAGTCTAAAGCCTGTGATGCATCTATTATATATAGATATATAGATATTAGTGTTTTAAATCATAAATGTTTATTTTTGTAGAGATTTAAATGAATTCACACATGTGGTGCATAAATACATGTATCCATAAGTTAATGTCCTTGATAGCAATTAATGTATCCAATAGCTTTGGATGTATGAATCCAAATCACTCTCTCAGTTCTATGCACTGTGAACCACAACCTGCTTCTAACAAAAGAACACCAAATGAAGTCAGGTTCATTAAAATCAAGTTATTTATTATTATATTACTGGTGTATTATTAGTCTCTTATATTTAACAAGGTAATAACTCTCAGTACCATTTTATGATCCACTTATGATTCTCCAATACTGTATTGTGCATTGACCTTGGCATTGACAGAGACTCTCAAGCTACATCTTACCAGCACCAAAATATTATTTTTTTTTATTAAGCATTAAATCAAACCATTCAATAATCTGAACATCTAAGACCTATTACATCCCATTATAGCTTACTTCAAGGGAAAAAAAGCGATATACAGTACATTCATTTATATAAATTAGGTACAGCATATTGTATATATTCAATGCAGATACATTACAACTTCATGTGAAAATACAGAAACAAAATGAAATGTTTACTTCAAAACATAATCAGTTAGGTTTGTCACAGTGTAATGTACACTAACACGTCTCATCCCAGGGCCAGGCTGGAATCTACATCTGTGCTGTTTGAAGAGCCTATGCGCTGTTCAGGTCTTCTCTGAGGGATCTGCAGTTTATGGTCTGATTTCTGAGGGGGAAAAAATAAAAACAAATTAGGCTCAGGTACAGTTCTGATCATAAATTTACATACCCCTGGCTGATTTTGACATTTACCACTTTTAGTGAGTTTTAATCATTCAAAACACTTTTCTTTCGTTTAGTGATAGTGCCTAGATGATGTTATCATCAAAGAAATGAGTGTGTATTATAATAATGAGATTACACAGTCAAACATTTACGTCTTGTATGTTCGGCCCATTAAAGGGGAATGGTTTAATGTGAAATGCATTATTCTAGAGAACCTTATGCAGTGAGAATTGTTCACAGCAGTGGTGATGGGAACCAGACACCTGAAGCACACAATGTCTTTAAAGGCTCCCTCACAGAAAACTTTTACATGAAGCAGTTATGAATATGCTGCCTGATGCCTGAGACATTGTTTTATGATAATCTCGAGATGATGTTTTGACCTGCACTGTAAACAAAAAATGTTAGTGTCTTAACTTAAAAAAGTAAATCAAAATGTATGGTGAAAATTGGCATTGTAAAGCAAAATGGCACCCAAAGAAAATTTTTCAGACTTACCACAATTTTACCATCATCAGCATCACACATAAAAATTCAGGACACCACGTATCACCACCATTGTAAAGATATCTACATTGGTAATTTTCTTCACAGGTAACCATTTCACATCAAACCATTCTGAATGACTGTTTACATCTCAACCATTAAATTACGCAAAAAACGTTAAAAATCGGTGGAATACCCAATTAAATATACACTCAAGTACATTGAGATGTGCCTTTTTCTACTGTAATGCGTGTATGCGTATGAATTTACCAGATACTAAAATATGTACAAGTAATCAGAGACCCTAGAATTATGAAAAGATTATAAAATATTTGAAAACGCCCATCGATGCTTTTCAAAGTCTGAAATATTAAAAAAAGTAGAAGAAACGTGTTTCTGTGGGTACCAAACCAAGATTTATGAGAAAACCGTCAGAAACATAGTATTATAAGAAAAAACCCACAAGCAACTTTGGCTCAGATACTGGCTTCTCGGAAACTAAGTGGTGTGGCTGTTTTGGAACGTACAATAAGGATATACAGAAGTAATTTAGAGTGTTGACACAAAAATGTAATTTTAGGGTCACAACCATAAATGTTATGTTGGAAAAGGAGTCTACAAGGTCCTTGAAGAGAAACATACCATCCCTAATGTGAAGCAGGTTAGTGGACCTTTGCTGTTTTAGAGGCACAGGAACTTTGATGAAAATTGATGGCAAAATAAATGCAGCAGATTACCAAAAAATCGTGGAAATTTGCATGCATCAGCTTGGAGCGCAGTTTCTGACTTTGCATACAAGGCCAAGTTGACCCTTGAGTGGCTGCTGTGGAATAAAGGGAAAGTTCTTGAGTGGGCCTCACACTCTCAGGACCTCAACATCTCTGAGCCACTTTCAGAAGAACCTCAAACACATACAAGGAGGCTTTTTGCCAAGAAGTGTGTGCAGGTTTACCACCTAAGGAAATAAAGGCACTCCTTCACAACCGTCACAAAAGGCTGCAAGCTCTCATTGATGCCCAAAGGAGCAGCACATGATCTTAAGATCCAAGGCAATGTAGAATTTGACTGTGTTATTTAGTATTTTCTTTGTTAGGATTAATGCAGTATATGCAAATTTCAATTATGAGAAAGAAATGTAATTTACATGACCGCTCATATTTCTAAAAATGGTAAATATCTTACAGAATCAGCCAGAGGTATGCAAACTTATGAGCAGAACTGTACTTTTTTCCAGCAACAATGTCCAAGTGTCTTATAAGGATGCAAAAGAATAGCTATATCTATATCAGACTTTTTCTTTTACTGCTGTAAGAAAATATTGTATCTCCAATGTCATAACCTTCTGAGAGAATGAAAAAAGGTTCCTAAAATCTGTTAAAGTAGCATCAATATTTTTATTGTTCTGTTCATCATGATATGTGAACATGCAGTAGGTATGTAGTTCACCTGAGCTCATCCAGGGCTAGTTTGTTTTGCAGTCTCACATCTTCGCTGATGGGGTACAGCAAGAGGATCATCAGGCCTGTGATGATAAAGGCTACTGGGGCCGCGCCAATCAGGAGTTTTAGAGTGTATGCTACTGCGTGAGGCTGTCTGCATGCTCCTGTGTCATAGCCAGCAAACCTACAGCGCAGCCAAGACAATAATTACTGTGAGTATAAATGAGGACAAAAAAACACTGGGCTAGAGGCCTAGTCTAATGTATAAGGCCCCTTAAAATAACCCTATTGCTTAATTACAGGGGATAAAAAGGTAAATTATATGTGCTTTGACAGAACGTACTCTAAACACAGCGTGGACACTCCCAGAGAGATCCCTGCTGCGAACTTGGTGAAGAAAACATAGAAGGAGTAGAAGATTGCCTCATGGCCCTTTGAGTTGCGGTTTGCCAGTCTGAAGTCATCCACTACGTCTGGTAACATTGACCTGGGCAAAAAGTGAAAAAGCATGAGGAGGAGGAGTCTCAGATATCATTTCTCATATTATGATGTGTTCAGATGGTCATCATAAACTGCTCATTCACCACAAGAAAGTTGAACTTCAATGCCTGACAAAATTGTACATACAAGTAGTTTCATGCAGGCTCCATACTTTTCCATGAGCATGACATATCACTTGAAATGGACTGATGCATAGTGTGGCCTGATGTGTCAATCTTTCACATTGTTTATGGAAATAATGGACGTCATGTTCTTCCACCAAAGATCATCCTGATTGTTACCAGCATAAAGTTCAAAAGCCAGGATTTCTTACAGTATGGTGTGTATGAGAGCCCATGGCATGGGAAACGTGCACATCTGTGAAATGGCCTTTAAACTGAAAGCCTTTAAACTGTCTTTTCCAGGGCTGCCCATGCTTATCTCAGTGCCACAATGCCACGCCATCTTCCAGTTACAACAGTGTGGCTGCATAACAGATTGTGGGTTCTACACTGGCCTGCCCACAGTCCAGACTTGTGTTCCACTGGAAACTCATGGTGCGTTATGAAGTACAAAATACAACAACGGAGGCCCCAAAAGCATGTGCAGCTTAATAGTTATATAATAGAACGACAGAAATTCCAGCTTCAAAGCTTGATCATTGGTGTCTTCATTCCCTAAAAGATTATTGTTAAAAGGTGATGTATAACAAAACTTCTGTCACAACACAGAAACACATTGCAAGCATCAAATTTGGAATGAGTGCATATTTAAGATAGAGCACTCCGAATTTACAAATCACTGCTTTCTGTTTTTATTAGTGCTGCACATATTGGACTTGGAATTGACTTACTACAGTGGGCTATACCATTTCTTAACTGTTCACACTGTTTCAGGATACATATTCATATTCATTCGCTGTGAAAACCTACTGATTGTCAGACTTGAACTGAAACACAAACAATTTTTATTATGTAGTTAGGATCCCTCTGTAATTGTAGTGAGGAATAAAACTGACCCTCCTGAATCATCATGCAAGTCAACTCATGAGGTAGCAAGAGCTGTGATGAGTTTGAAATTGGAAGCTTCTTCATAGCAGGGATGTTAAACTCAGCACAGTTTTTGGCGATTTCCCTGCAAAATGATCACCAAACCGCTAAGACACTAGCAGAGGACAGGAGTTAGTAGGGCCTTCCAAACGGTGCTCCTCTCTGTTTTTTCTGCTTGGTTTAGTCTCTGTCTGTACATTTTTGTTGTGTTCCCTCTCCTCACACGCCTGAGCTAGTTATTCAGCATTCTGTGGTCCCTGATTACTTGACTAATGTGTGTTTGAAGCTGGAACAGAATTAGAATGTGGGCTGGGACTGGACAGACTGAAAACCCCTGCCATAAAGAAAGTAACCACAGAGGGGCACCATAGAGAGATCACCTCTGAAACAACCCATCACTGCTTTCCCTGCTCCATCATTTATGCTTATGTCATGTAAATAACAGCCTTCACATTAGAAACAGCTTAATTTTGGCTTCCTGTTTTACTATGTGAGCATACAGTATATCATTCATCCAAGTGTCTTCATTAGGCCAAGGCAGTTTAAAGAGATACTACTATAAATATAAAAATATATAAATAACCCTTTAGTTTTAAAACTTAACCTTAAGCAGTGTTTCCCCCTACATCAGAGAAAAATCTGGGGGAGCATCACAGTGGCAGGTATTCTAACATATATGGAAACTCATCTTGATATTATTCTTGCTTAATTGCTTTATCAAATAAGACATGCATGGTTTGTAATGTATGCAGCACTGAACCACAGAAATGTTGAAAATAGAATATGCTTAAAAAAACATAACTCTCACAGTGTTAAACCCAAACTAAAACACATTTAAAGTCTGTTGTACTTCACAAAATCACTTCACAAATGATCAGTGTACATACAAAATCCTTTAACCTATAAAAAGGTTTTATAACAATATTTTCATTCATAGACATCCGTGCATTCCTAACAGTATAAAGTTTTACAAACAGTATTTGAAAAGTGTAAAATCATGTTATGTGAGGTAACTCGTACTGATATATTGTTCTGTTGTTTGGAGAAAAAAAACAGACACTATTAATGTTTTGTAAAATTAGTAGCATAACCTGATTTTACACATTTCTAATACTGTTAATGACTCGATCCTGTGAAAAAAGTTTTAACTTAAAAAAAGTGAGAAGGCTGGCTGCCTTTATTTTTCTTAAAACATTGAACTTGGCTGTCAGAAGCAAAACCTTATATCTTATTCTACATCATTTTGGACCATTTCTGTGGTCAGTTTGTCATATTTAGACACAGTTTAAATGGCAGCTGGCATTTTTGAACTATGTAAAAAAAAAAAAGTGAGAGAGAAACGACCAAAGGTTTTGCTCAGACAGCGACAATATATTTTTGGGTTACAGCTGTGACCTGAATTACAGTGTCCAACACTGAACATTAACATGCTGAGTAGCCTGCGGCCGTTTAACGTACTCACCATGGTAAAAGTAGTGATGCAGCGACGCTGAGTCCAGAAGATACAGCGACCACATACGCCACCACCAGGTTAGGAATGAACACCAGCATCACCGTGAAGGGCATGATCCACTGCACATGCACAATATCAGCATTAGACACATCACACTGTTTTTGTGTCTGTAAAAATGTTTTCTGGTTAACCCCTAAAACAGAAGTCATTATGACTTACACAACTATCATAGTATAGTAGTACAATACTGTAATACTATAAATGATTAAATATCATTTATAGTATTTATAATACTATATATACTGATATAGTTAATCAGAAATGTGGACCCATGTATATATGGCGATTAAAATATTAAAGCAGCTACAGTCAATGCATGCAATAAATACAGACAAACAGTAAGTATAGGACGATAACTAACAGAGCAGATGTACAGTCTCCAGCACCAATGATTGGTATAAATAGACAGTACTATTTTTGTCCACAGTGTGGCACTGTACATTGATAAGTACACTAGACTTAAAGGACAATTGGCTGAAGAAGGCAGACATGCACAATGAGGTAGACTAACGGTTACCGTAATGCCACAGAATGCCGCTGTCTTCTTGCCAAACTTCTGCAGGAACCACTGCCAGAAAGGGATGCTCACAGCTGCAGACATCTGGAGAGTGGGCGACAGGGCGTGCTTAAAACAATATATAAGAGCCTTTTGGACTGAAGTCCAAAAGCAAAAAAATTGTATACAATCAATCATCTCCCTCATACAGGATGCAGAACCAACGTCCTTGAACACTATGCCTTAAATATAACGGCCTATAAAGACATACACTGCCTGCAAGATACTTTGTACACTATATAAATTCATTTGATATTTATGTCCAAAAGTATCTGGATACCCCTTCTAATTAGTGAATTCAGCTACATTAAGCTGCACCCATTGCTGACACAGGCGTGGTATAATCTCTATAGAAAAGCATTTCCAGTGGAATGGGGTGAACTGGAGTGGCCGCACATGAGGCCTAAGGTCACTGTTCAATGCCAAGAGTCAGCATTGGGCTGGAGTCCCATCCAGTAACTTTGGGATGAGTCAGAGTGATGTTTATGATCCAGAATAAGCAGCCAATATTAGAGTCATGGAAAAGTATTGACCCCCTTCTGATTCCTCAATTGTTGCATCAGATCCTCATACAAAATGTAATATGAGGAGAACATGAGGAAACATTGCTTCATTTATTGAAGGAAAAAAGTTATGTATATCACTCAAGTAATGCACCATATATTTAATAATTAGCAGTGCCACCTTTAGCAGCAACAGCTGCAACCACATGCTGTCTGGAGACCAGTCTTTCCCATCATTGTGGCGGACAACTCTTCTTTGCAGAATTGCTTTATTCAGCCACACTGGAGGGTTTTTGAGCATTAACTGCCCATTTAAGGTCCTGTCACCTTAATTTTGTTTCTTTTGAGACATTCAGAGGTGGGCTTGCTCTGGTGCTTTGGATCACTGTCCTGCTGCATAACGCGTATGTGCTTGAGCGTCAGATCACAGACTGATGACGGAGCATTCTCCTCTAGGATTTTCTAATACTAAGGTGAATTCATCATTCAATCAATTATAATGTGTCACCCAGGCCCTACAGCAGCATAACATCCAAAGACCATCATACTACCACCTCCATGTTTGACTGTTGGCATGAACTTATTGTGGAATGCTGTGTTGGCTGTACACTAGATGTAACGGGATCCTGGTCTTCCATATCGTTCCACTTATGACTTATGTCCACAGATCAATACTCCAAAAGACTTGGGGGTCATCAAGGTGTCTTCTGGCAAACGTGATACAAGCCTTTATGTTACAGCAGCAATGGGGTGACAAACTTCCTATGACTACCCTTCATTTCAGAAGAAAATTTTGCATGAGCAGGCATCTACTAACTTTTGGACGTATAGTGTATGCTTATCACTAAGGCCACTGACCTGCAGGTCTAGTTTATTGTTACATTAGAATGAACGTGCTGTGAATGTGATGAGCACTCACCAGAATTGTCAGCACTATATTCTGAAAGTGATCTCGAAGGTCCACTGCATATGTGCAGAACAGCACAAAGTTACTCTGCACCAGCTGCAAAAGTAACAGTTGGTATTATAAGACAACTCCTTTGTTCAGGAAGGAAGCAGTTCTACTCCATGCTGCATGACTTTATGATTAAGCAAACCTGCAGAGCTCAATGCTAAGACTTCATTTAAAGCAATATCTCAAGTATGAAAAGAATGCTTGAAGAATGAATGCTTGTGGCTATTGCTATTGCATCCATTCATGTCTTAAAGAAACTCCCTCTGCAGCAAGACCTCACTGCCAACACTCTCTTCACTGATCAAATAAATATTGAATGTAAGCTCTTTACCTGGATGGCCACAGATATAAAGAGGAAAGCCGCTGTGAGCGTGAGATACGGTCCATGTTTCATCACCAGCACAAAGCCTTTATGGAAAGGAATGGGCTTCTCTGTCTTCGGCGCATAGGGATCTAAAAAAAAAAACAGTGTGGATTTGCATTTTGTCAGCTGTAAATACATTCTTAAAAATAGTGGTTTCTAAATGGTTCTTGGCTTGAATGCATATTCTAGAAATAACCTTTAATTGCTATATATTATATGGAGGTTATTTAAACTTTGAAAAAAGGTTCTCCACATTTGCACAAGTCATTTATAACATCTACTGACGGGTTTTTTAGAGAACCACAAGTGGATCTTCTGTAACATTGCTCCAAAGAACCTTTGAGTGTATTATATTAGTTAAAAATATCTGCTGTTGCCACTTGCAAAAATGTCTTATTGTATCAGCAATGTAATAATTATTATAATATTCAACATATAATAATGTATGTATGCATGTATTATTATTAGTAGTAGTAGTATTAGTCTTAGTCTTAGTATTATTAGTATTATTATTATAAGCAATACTCATAATAATATAACCAACAATAACAGCCATGTAATTAAATGCATGCAATGTCCTCAAAGCTATTACTTACCATCCCTCTCTTTGACTCCCAGGAACATCACCACTGTACAGATGAGAAACAGCCCTCCTATCACTCCTGCAGCGATCATGTACACCTCCTTCTGTGAGGAGAGAGAAACATACAGCTGTTATTATCTTATGCAAACTAATTGTTTTAATAGACTTTTTTGCAAAAATGTTTAGCTTGCATCACCAACAACACCAGTAGATGCTGGAACCGAAACATTTACTTCATAAAGTTCTTGATAGAGCTTGTCCCCAAATACCCCAAAACACAACAAAAAATCTTGGTGTTTTTTCTCAGTTTCTTATTGTAAGAGTTACTCAAAATGTTATACGCATTTTTTAACACTAAGGTGAATCCTATAACAGCAGAGCAAAGCACTATGGCTTCTTCTTACATAGAAAACACATTTGTCAAGGGAATCCAATGCAAACCTTTAAGTGCAGTGTTCTGTAAATAACACAAAGTTGCACTCAAGTAAATCATCCATTGAACCATATGCATCCATTAGGATTACACTGAAAACAACCATTTTTACTGTTACTGATGGGTATTAAAACTAGAAAAGTAACTGGGAGCTGAATGTAGAGAAAAACTAATGTGAAACTATAACATGCATGTCTGTGATGACAGAAGATGACAAAATGAGATGTATTTCTACAGCATATATTTCTGATATACTGTTTATTTGAAACTTGAGTAAAAGGTTTCAGTGCCTTTACTTTATTTGAGGCAAAATATGTTTCAGAAGTGTTGGAATGCAGGGCGTTTCGAAACTGTGAACTGTTTCAGGAATTCTGCTTAAGCAGTTGAGGAACTCTGTCACTAGTTTAAGGCAAGTACTAGACAAGACACCATGCTTTCTGGCCTTGTGAACTTAGACCAAATTAGCTGGAACCCCCAAATAGAGGAACTTTTCAATTTATTGCCCTCAAACAGGAACTGCTCTGCCCTAAACAATCTCCGACTTGTTTGCTATTTTTCCATGCACGGCAGCGAAGCGCTTCATTACTCATCCAGATCAAACAGAGGCCTGTTTTGGAGGGCTTGGCTGGCGCACCCAAACAAGCGCGCCGCCCTGGGCTTGGGCCGCAGAGGAATGCGCAGTGGCTACAGAGGGCAACAGCGTGGCGGAGACAGATCCAACCGCCCCGGCAGGGTTTACCCAAAGCCGAGAGTGCTGGTGAGACACGGAGGCCTGCTCTGAATAGCTGTGGCTCCCTGTGCTGATGCATGAATGACTTTTTTCCCAGAAACCATCAACATCAGCCACAGGAGAGCCTCAGGGTTTGTTGGCCCACTCTCACTTCCAGTATGGCTGCCTGTGGAAGTGGGTGATACTCCACTGAAAATAGACACCCTTAGTCCCTAAACCAAGCATGCTTGTTTGTTCTAGGGTCTCTTTTGAGTCTCATGTTTACTATCTCAGGTCAGTTTCTGACGTCTTCACAGAGTGAGTCCTGTCTGTAGGCTTATGACTAGACAGTGAGCAAATATACTCCATTTATTTTCTGGAAATGGGCTCATCAACTCTGCAGTAACACTTTCATGGTTGTATGTGCCGGCAGATTAGTATGGGACAGTTAACACATGTAAAGATGGACAGTGATGAGATAACCTGGACATGGTGTTCTTCAGTGGCTAAGCCAGAACATATTTGGTGTCTGATGGTTGCTTCCTTAGTTTTGCACTGGAGCTACAAGGCTAATGTAGCTAACAATCAATGGAAACTTACACTCCACAAATTAGCACTGTGCAAATTAGCATCATGCATGTCTAATTCATAACACACAATAATCTCAAATATATTTGCTTCTGTGGTTTTCAACACTGTGTGACACTGTTATAAAAGGTTCTTGAAGGGTTCTTTGAAAAGGGTTCTATATAGCACCAAACAGGGTTCTTGTACTGTCAAGCTTGTAGAAACAATAGAAAAACCTTTTTTGCTATATAAAGCCTTTTTCAAAAAAGGTTCTATATAGAAGCATATACAGCACACTGTCAATCAATCTGAAGAACCATTTCACCATGCAAAGAACCCTCCAATCATGCAAAGGGTTCTTTGAGTGTTCATGGTTCTATATGGAATCATACTCATTACTAAAGAACCTTTGAACAACCATCTTTCTTAAGTGTGTACAGCCAAAGTTCAGGATGGCAGCTCTTTCTAGCTATCTAACAAATCAATGCTGTCCAGGAAAAATATGCATCTTCAAAATGGTAACTTTACAGGAGAAGGCAAAAACATTCTTAAATTTAGTGAACGTTAATGTAAAGAAATTTTATTTCAAGTACATTGGGAGCATTTCTAGTCATCTGTTCATCATGAAATGTTCATACAGTGTAAAGGACAGCTGCCTTCTTCAAATGATGTGGAAGAGCAAACATGGAAAAAATGGAGATACATGGGTTTTTTTGAACAGTGAGAAAATGTTTGTCCATTTCTGTAGATAAGTGTGTCATACAATGTCAGAAACCACATCAGCAAATCTGTTGGTAGACTTGATGCAGTTTGACACCACAGTTTGATCATTTAGACATGCAGTTTGCATGACTCTGACCCCTCATTCCCAGACTTATAACATCCTAAGGCTTATTATCCAGTAATTACATTGAAAACAACGCAAAGGGTTATTCTTAAGTCATAGGAGTGGCACTGGGCATTTAAGGGGTTGAAACAATAACTCTTGTGTATACGTGTACATACATTCAGACACCAAACACTGATTGATCAACTATATTTTGGGTAAGGGAGAAATTGTGCAAATGTTATTTTTGGCTGAACTATCGCTTTAACTGTCGTACTGTGATGGCAGCTGCCCCCCGACACAGGGCAGGTTATTTTCATTGTGCAATGTCTTTGATACATACTGCATGTGACAGGAAGTCCTGGGATAGCGCCAGGCTTCTGATGACCTCTGTCCCGCTACTGTTTCCCAGGTGACCCGCTGACACATTGTGATGGCGGCAGTGCTTCAGAGTGTGAGCGCTCGCTACAATCTGGCCCTGGATGGCTGCACCAACCAGCGTGCCCAGAACCTCCATGGTCATACCTGCAGTGGACATACATAGAAAGACTATATCAGTTCTTCTGTACAAACATTTAATGCCTCTAAAAGCTCACAGAAAATTATTACATTCAACAACTTGGTATCAAATACATTGTTTGGGATAATATTTTGGCCTAATATGTGTTTTTTAGATCCAGTCATGGCAGAGAGGTACATGCAGGTGGTCCCCAAAGAAAAAATGTTTTTTGAATAACTACTATTTTTACAATACAATTCAGCATTATATATAATTACTAATGAGACTCCTATGAGATTATAGGTTCAGTTTTGGTTTTGGATAGTAAATAAATTGGCTTTGCATTGCAGACATAGTGACCCCTGGTTCCTATCACCACCACTGTGAAGAAATCTGAGTCTCTCTACAAGTTTCTCTGTAATGACCCATTTCACATCAAACTCTGATTGTGATTGTGTTTTGTCTGCACCTCAATTAATGAATAATTATGCAGGACTTTTTTTTTAATTGGTGAAATTTATTTTTAATGACTGCTTAAATTCAATGCAAAGCAGTTGTAAAGGGTTCTCACTGAATTATGTTGGTGCTCAAATCTAAAAAGCATAGCATCACTGTTGAAGCAAAACCTTGTATTTCGATTTTTGTTTTCATTTTTTTTAAGGTTTTTTACAGACTACAAATGCCACCCACCGTTTGCAAAGAATTTTTGTGATGAGTGGATCAATAGCAATGAGACAAAATAACTTGAGGGAAAAAAAATCTTGTTTCATTAAATTCCATTTAAAGTTCAGAACAATTTATGGTTCTCCTGTAAAGTTAACATCGCAGAGACACAAGGTTTTGCAAAATGGTGATTTGGTGACTTTTCAAAGTTTACCCTTGGGTTTGCACATTTAAGAAAGACAAAAAAAAACATTCTGAGATTACTTTCATGTTCTTCTGTCATAAATTATAATTATTCACAATAGATACGTTCACCAAATCACAACCCTGCGTTGGGTAGTGTAAGTGTAGCTGAGCAGTAACCTTACGGTAGGCTGTAGCTGAGTCTCTCTCTCGCTGATCTGTGCTCAGGAACATGGTCAGGGCTGAGTAAGGCACGTGGAAACACTGCAGAAGACAGAGACAGAAAGAGCATAGCTACTGAGCACTAACATACACTACTGTGCCGGCCTTCTTTGGTCTATGTTAGCATTCTAGATTAAAGATCTCATTTCAAGAACAGTATTGACCACTGTGGAAAATAGGACAGGTCAACTGAGGCAGAGTGATGATAAAATAATGGAAAAGAAGATTGATTCTATGCCAAGCTCTTAGAAGGGAAAAGGTGAAATACAAGGATTAATGAGCATGCAGCATGTCTGTGTGAGAAGACTCTAAAAAGAAAAGTGAAGGGTAAAATATATCAAACGTCTGCAAATTAAAGGGGGGCAAAATAAAGTGATGGATGAAAGAGTGTACATAATGTCTTCTGAACAGAGTTTAGATGACAAGCAGTACAGTGAAACAAAATCAAAGCATTCAGTAAATCTATTTTTATTGTCCTTTTTATTGTATGTTTTATTTGCCATAAAGTTGCATTTTGCTTGTAAAAGAATGTGCAAAAGGCTAGATTTTGCAAAATACACAAAAACTGAACTCAGACTACAGTCTACAGTCAAATGTGCTGTAAAATGAGTGTACACACATTATATCAATAGTTGCTAACACTTTATTTGGAGTGTCCTTTGTAGATGATTAATAAACTCTTAACAGAGTATCAGTAACACATCAACATATCAGTGAAGTCGCAGCAGTGAAGCATCTGAATACATTGAATATCTTGTAGATGTTCTGTTGATACATTACTTACATTAAGTAGATGTAGTGTTAATATGTTACTTCCATTATTTAAAACCTAACCTTACCAACCTTACCCAAAACCATGAACAATATCAGTAACAATAATAAAAATAGAAAAACACACAAGAATCCCCCATCTATCCTTATCCTTCTGGATACTAATGATGAGTAATTCAGTTCTACATGTAATTTGTGAACGTGAATGAGAATTTGCGTATTTAGTTTTTTGTCATTTTATTAGCAATTGAGTAGCTAATCAAAACAGAGGTGGAGGATTAGGTATGAGGTATCAAGGAAGATTTAACAATCTTACACACTTCCTACAATTCTACAGTCCCACAGTTCTGTGCCTGCCCATGAAACAGTATTCTGTGACTGGGCAGATTTTCCACTGAGTACACCCATGGTTCATGAGCCTGCTGAGTGTGGAGCAGTCACGATCATTAAATTTTAGCTGACGATTAATTGCCATTTAAATTATTATGATTAATGATTTAATTGTCTCTTTTTCATTATTTGCAACTGTGAAATTAAAACGTAAAGTGGCGAAACTGGCTGATTAGCTTACTATGTTTACTTAGTAGCTAACATTGGTTGTACTGTTAAATCAATGCTGTGCGCATTGTACTGTTGTACAGACATTACTCAGCATTGTACAAACATTACTCAGCGCTGCCTTCTAAACATGTTAAGTCACTCATGATATCCCATGATATCTCAATGAATGCATTTAAATTGAATTTTTTTAATTTACATTTATTTGCCTCAACACAACACAATCAATTCACATTTTGTTTGTTGCAGCTTAATATTACTTTGATATCTAATGACTGTGGAAAATTGCAATGATCTCAAATAACTGCAATTTTCCCAAATAATTGTGAGTAGGCGATATAATTGTGACAGGCCTACAACACCGGCATAAATTACGCCTTTTCATGCAAACTGCAAGTATATGTGGGTAAATTGGGGCAGTTTGTATGCCACTCCAGGCACTGCAATCTGAACTAGTTTCTACATAAAATTGAATAATTCAGTTGGAGAATCCTGGAGAATCACAGAAGACAAGTGAGGTATGCTGCTCTATTCCCAAAAACATCCAAGCACAAAGATGGATCTTAAATGGTAAAGAGAGCATCACACTGAACACTCCTTCTACCAGTTAAGTTGATTTTAACCCTAAGATGCTTTGGGGAAGCTGTGCCCAGTTCAACAGTGTTCGCTTTCCTTTACTTTGTAATTTACACAAAAAAGTCCAGTCAGCACTGTGGCAGGCCAATGGTCCAACGGACTACCAAAATAAATCTCTCCAAAGTGCCTGCCCAGCCCTGCCTTTGTTCCATAACAGTAACCCAAGTGACTTGGCTATGGAACCTGCACTCGATTTTTCCATTTAAATTGCTGCTACTGACACTTCACAAAGAGGCTTACTTGCGCAAATGAAAAACAAACAGTCTAATTAAGAATAATGGCGTGATTAAAAGGACAACAGTACTCGGACTCTTGATGCACGGCCCTTGGTAGTGGAAGCAGCTGCTGTTTCTCAGCCTTGCACTTAAAGACAATGGAGAGCGCTAAAAGAGGAAAGCAGCATTTACCCTCTCTGGTGGTTTCTGGCTGCCTCTACTGTGTACTTATCGAGGAGTCAAAACGACTTGTCATTACAGCGTGTCTTTCTGTGGTCAGAGCGGCTTCCCCATTCCAGCACATGCCGGTGGGTTTGACTGAAGGTAGCGGCTATAGATTTGGGCCAGACCTTAGTGACAAAGGGCACGAACACGAATAAATATTGGAAATAAATGATAAAAGCATCAAAGCGGCTGAGTTAAAACGCAGCACACAGTGGAGAGAGACATCTGAAGATGCTGTCTCGTCTCTTTGCTGGACGGATTTATGATCACTCATTTTTTGTTTACTGTTAAACAATAAAGAGGATGATCGTAATAAATAAAAAAAAAATAATAAATTTCACTTTATTAGACATTACTTAGGCTAGCTTGTAAGATTTGCTTTGCAAGGTTAGTAGAAGGCCTTCTTAACCTCAAGCACATTACACTAAAATCCCTCAGAGCTAAATATCATAAAGCTGCCAGTATGAAAGTATGAGAAGCCCACTTAGTTAAGGATCACATTAAATACTGCAGATAATATACAAACATGCCATCAACTTCCAATGTTCTTTGTGGTTTTGTGGTACATTCTGTTCAGGAAACAGGGTCCAGATCGAATATACGGTAGCATCCCTGTCTGCTTAACTGCTGAACAAGGCCTGGGCATGCTAAACAGCAAGAAACTGGGACAGTAAATGTATAATAATATGCTGTAATATTTTCTGCAGTAAGATACTAATTGTAATGTGGGTCTGATCGATAGTATGTGATGTACACTTACTGTGATGAGGGTTTGATAGAGGCAGTAGAATCCCAGATACCAGATGAACCTTCCGTTGGTGAAAGGGGGAACAAACCACAAGTAGAAGTAGGACACTACCACAAATGGGGTGCAGCCCACCATCCTAAAAAAGAAAAGCAAGATTATTAGGCATTCAGCAATTAGTGTTATTATAATGTTTCGACAAAAATCTAAAAGTTAAAATCTGGGTGTGAGTAAAACAAAAAGTTCTACAAAGGATAAAATTCACATCAGTCCATTTGGAATGCTTAACACTTCAAACTTAACACTGGTTTTACTATGACTACCACTTGTCATGAAAAAATGCATGTAGTGCAAAGTGTTAAGTGATGACACAACTGCCTAGACAATAAAGTAATAATCTACATTATGGGGAGGTTCTTCAGCGTGATTTTTTGGGTGTTGAGAGTGAATATCAAGTCATCAAGTTCAGGAGAGAAATGCAAAAACAGGGAAAAAAGCAAAACGTTCGTCATTAAGCTAATGTTTTTTCAGTCAGAACAGAGTGCTGCCCAGGCTCAGCAGACCATACATGATGCTAGTGTTAAAGTTAGTATTGATAGATCCAATGTTTATGGGAAATTACTCTTAATATGTAATGAGATTATGTTACTTATAACCTATTCATTACACATTACTTTTTTGTATCGGCAGATAATTTTGCTTGTTTTTGCTTGTTTTTTTTTCTCCAAAAAAGCAACATGATCTGTTGATATAGTGAGTTAATCTTACAACGATCTCAAAAAGAGATATATTGACTAGATGTAATATGCTTTCACTTGCCAAGATATTATTTTTTGCAGTGAAGGAGGGAACCCAGAGTCTCAACTAATTTAAAAATGTTCATCAGGGGTCCCATTCCTGTCTTTTGCCTGGAGCCCCAGAATCACTAAATCTACCCTTGTGTCTAAGTGCTGTGCCTGCTGCCATTGTTGAAGAAAATTCTGAACAACATGTCTTTTTATTCATTCTATGCCTGGTTTTAAAGGGCGGAGAAAAATGCAAGAACATTCCCCAAGGAGATATATATATATATATATATATTATATATATATATATATATATATATAATATGCTTTACATATATATATATAATATATATATATATATATATATTTATATATATATATATATGATTTCACACAAAACACGTTATTCAGTGCATCCATTTCCAATTTTTGCCTGAAACTGGACATCCACACTTCTATCCAATGTATTTATAAATGTGTATGGGTCTATAATTCGAGGCTTATATTTTGTTTTTTGTTATGGCACCAGGGATGAATACATAAAGGAAGAATTTCATTGTATAGTGAAGCTGAACCTGAAATCTGAACCCATTATTCAGTCTTTTACCTTAAATCTTATTATCCAGTAACTACTACAAATTATAAATAACTACTATGAAACTAACCTGTAAAATATATAGCTATGACAGTATGGAATGCACCCGATGACAGGTCCTTAGGCAGTAACACCAGCATTTGTTTATTGCAGATGTCCTGTACGACTGCAGCTTTTACCCCATTGCCACACTTACGGAGGCGCTGCTCTGTGTACATGTGTGAGAATGTTTACTGCAGGACATCTGTCTGTGTGGTGTTTGTTAGGATGCTGCTGTACACCTCTAATCCTGTCAGCCACAAGATCGCAAAATGCTGCATAGCCAAGTGCTTATTTCAGCATAGTTGTCAAGACAGCATAGATCTGGATGGGAAGGAAGATTCTGCTGCACTTGGGTCCTTTCAGGATGTGGGAAGAAGATATGTGGGCCATGTATAATTCATAGAGATACAACCTCTCCATATCATTATGGCTGAGGGAGCCAGCTGCAGACCTACACTGGGTTGAGAGGGGAGAGGGAAGAGTTGGTGGAGCTGAACGTGTCGTTTCACAATCCATAATGACAGATTTACCACCATGTGTTACCAACAGTGACAGGCGCAGTCAACTCAAAGTGATTTAAGCAAATGATTGCATCTCATTAAGCAACGATTAAAGGAATACTTCAGTGATTATTAAACTAGTCCCTATCTGCTGCATCAGTTGTATACTGTCAATCACCACTGACAGTGCTGTCAATATGTGTCCGTTCTTTGCTTAGCAAAGAAAAGAAAACTTAAAACACTGTTTATAATAGAAGCCAATAGGCCTGTGCTGAAGTGGAAGCCACTGATTTCTATTAGAAGGTGGTTCAGCTACTGAATTCTGATCCTTTTAAATCCCTGTATGGTAATGAAATCCACACAGATCACCTGTGTAGAACCTTTCTAAGCAGGTTTGCCCTGAGTTCACTGACCTCTGCTCCCTGTCTATGGTGTTCGGTTCCACAGACGATAAACAACTGTGGGCAAAACAACATCCAGAAAGGGTAACAGAAAGACAGGGAGAGAAAAGAGAGTGGCCAATTCTGGCACAGTCCAGATGCCCCTATTGCAGAGTGAGCCAGCCCCCTTGCTCCCCCAGCAATTGTTTGGCCACACAAAGGGCCAGCAGCACAGGAGAGAAAGAGAGGGCAGAGGGGTTAATGTGAATGGATGGCTCCGAATGTTCTGTAAGATGGCTCAAATGATGGGACGGCCTAGAAATGTCTGCCCTGAGTTAACTAGGGAAGGGTAAGACGCACATGCAGGTGCAGTTCATGAACAAAACCAGAAACACAAGTTAACACTATTCACTTGCACACACATATATTTACACAAACACACAAACGAGCATCCACAAACACAGCTAGAAAGTGTTTCTAGAAATCAGTTTGGCTGTTCTCCTGCTGTGACCACAGCTGCCAGATTGCTTCTATAGTTTCCAGGCAAACCCACCGAAAGTATGCATTAGAAACACTCTACATTCATTTGAACGATAATACAAAATGATACAGCATTTAACCAATATGACATTAATATTAAGCTTCTAGGTAAATTAACCGTAGATGCCTTGCTGTCAGAAAACTGCACATAAGTATTTAAGTTGTCATTACATTGGTGTTTAAAAACATTTTATTACTGATACAAATAACTGTTCATGTAATTTTTAGTATCCCTATCAAACATCCAAGAAATGCCTAGACAAAAAAAATAATTGCAAATATAATAATTGAATAACTTAATTTATATATGTATCTTGTTGACTGTGAAAGACACTGCTGCGTGGGGCAACGGCCTCCTCTCAAAAGGAGTGTCTAAAATGTCAATCAAAGTTTTCATAACTGACTGGAATGGAGAGAAGTTAGTTAAAAATCAGCTGCATTATTAAGTAATGCAGTTTATTAATTTTATATCGTTTTTTAAAACCCGCCAAAATGACGACAAACCAGCCCACTTACCAAAGTACTTTTCCCCCTGCCAAACCCAAGCAAAGTCTGCCCAATTTGGCAGGAAGCAACCCAATCTGGCAACGTTTGCTGTAACTGTCTGTGTATTTTCTATGGGTGATGTCTGGGTTGTAGTAATTACTACATATTACAAATCTTGATTATTTAGTTATTGCAGATCTTTTCTTCAACCACTTTCTGCAGCCCCCCTTTAGTGGCCATCCCGTTGGCAGAATGGAAAACAATTTGAAATATTTTAATTAATGTAATCCAAAAAAAGGTTAAAATCATTCAGATTTCCAAAACATATTTAATAAATTTTAATGAAGAACAAAAATGCATGTAGTGCAAAAACTGAGGCACCTCTAAGATGGAAATTGCACTGTATGCCTACTAGGAAAAGGGGTTAATTAAAGAGCCTGTGGGGTTAAAGAGTAATTACACCCTAAAGCTGTTTTTTCCTCATGAAAAACTGTAGGATATTGCTCTGTTAACATAAAAGATAAATAAAAAATATAATTATTTTGATGAAGTTTTAAACTGTCAAAAAAAACAAAACAATTATTGTGGTCAGTTCACAGTTACACTCTGCTGTAGGCGCGCATAACTCGGAGCACTACATCATCAAGGTTAGCTGGGAGAGAAACTACCACAGCAAATCATACGAACAATCTGGAATAACAAGTTGGTGTAATATGCCTTTTTACCTTTGTTTCGCCTCTTTATACCATAAATTACCATCCCTGCAACAGTGCGCATTTCTGCTAGCTTGTGGTTTCAGTGTTTCACAATGTTCTAGACATACTAGCATTAAGTTAGCAATGGCCAATTATCCACGCTTGGTTAATAGTATCCTACTTAAACACAAGATATGTTCAGATATCTGTATGCTCAGATAATCGTGCCCCCGTCCATCATATTTTTGAGCATTTTTTAAAGTTGGACTAGGGGTGCAGTTAGTTTTTTCTAAAAAGGAAATTACGAGCTATAGAAAGCATGGCTGTCAAAAACTACTGAAAGCCTAAATCTTGTTATGACAACATGAGAAAAAGGACTGTAGTAGCATAACTCTCTAACCATATCTCAAGACAAAAGTGTTTGATTACATTGCCTTTGAAGAAATGTCAAGATGTCAAAGATACTGGTGAGCTGACTGGGGAGCTCACTGTGGAGAGATATCATGAGCTCTGATGAAAGGCCTAAGTATGTATAATTTTGTAGAGTGAAATTTAGATTTTGATGTTTTTAAATGCTCAGCTTAGGGTCTGATGGGACTTTTTTTATGAGTACTTCCTTGATGACCATGGCGCCTTGCAGTGGGAGCATTACAGAATCTTTAGTGTTATCTAAATGTTCCCTCCTGATGGTGCACTGGGGCTCTAGCATAATAAACAAGCAGAGGAACCCTGAAGTCCCGGCCGGGCAAGGCTGTGATGTTTCACCACAATGTTCTGGACATAAACGCTAACAACTTCCTTCTTACCACTGTGATGTCACACCTCAGTGATATGGGGACTTCCTTTAAGGACTGATGGATCATTGTTCACAGAGATCGGTATGGGGAAGGTGCAGCCTTTAAAGAATTCCACAGATTATGACTTTATGGTTTCGATTTACAGCTGTAGCTAATCTTCTTGGCACTGATAAGTGTGTCATCACACATAAGGATTGTAGCAAGTAGTCGGCAACGAAAAAGAATTCTTGCACTTTCTCATCATCAAACATAACCTAGGGGTTAGGGTGTGTTGTGTTGTGTTTCAGATAAATGGCATGCCTTCCATGCAAACAACAGAATAGCTGAACTTGGAATAAAGGTCAGAGACTACCCTCTGCCACAGGCCTGCCTGAGCGAACAGAGAGAATCTTCCACTCACCATGGCATGAGCCGGCCAATTTTTGTCCATCTGCTTTTAGTGACAAAGAATCCGACAATGGGGTCACTAACTGCCCCCCAGGCCTTACCGATGAACAGCACCATGGAGGCCTGGAATGGGTTTATCTGCAGAAGAAGAGCAGGAGTGGCCATTACCATTAGACACTGATTCTGCCGCCTTCACAAAGTCACAAAGCAAGTGAGAGATCACTGATGTTTCAGAACCACTCAAAGTGGGATAGGCAGTTGTCTGCAAAAGTTTGAGCACCCCAGGTCAAATGATATGGTTTGTTGATTTTTTAATTAATTAATTGAAAATAAGTTAATACATCCTCTACAGAGAACACACTTCTGCACATTTCAATACACAATTACAGCTGAATTTAAAAAATTGGAAAAAATGAAAAACATAAAACGTGGCTTGTGCAGAAGTTATGGCATATTTTATATTTTATGTTTATTTTTTTTCCCACAAACATTAAACTCAGCAAATAAATAAAACTGTGCACTAATTTTTTTAGCAAATGCTGTATTGGTGTTTGTTCCCAGTACAGGATGTGTTAATTTATTTTCACTCAGAATGTTAACGAAATATGCACTCAAAAAAGTGTTGCTTAGAATTGACTTGATTCAAATGTGTACACACGAATTACTGACATTCATTTTACTTACTTTTGGTAAGAACTGCTTTAATGTATTTTACTGGCATGAAAATGATAACGTGTAAAAATGGCTCATCAGATCAACCTAAAAATATTTCATGTAGCAACAAGCAACTGAACTAGTTTTATTCAAGTAAAAAAATCATTGATTAAAATAGTCATTCATTTAAAGTATTTATTTAGGTTGAATAAAACTAGTTAATTTACTTGTTACCACATGCTGAATTTTTTTAGGTTGAACTGACAAGCCATTTTTTACAGTGCACATTTGAATCAAGACGTTTTAGAAGTCAGAGGTTTTGTTGTTTTGTGTAAATAAATGTGTTTTCCAGTCCAAATAAAGAAAATGTACCCAATACACATTGAGTTTGCTGCAACATACTCATACATGGCTAATGATTGCGATCATCTTAATTAATTGCATGCAGTTCAAATCATTGTGATTAGGTGATTATGTAATAATTGTGACAGACCTAGTGGGATATGGCCAAAATCTACTCAGTAGCAGTAGCTAAAACCCCTCCAGATATTATTAGCTTTCACATAATGGAAAAATGAATCAAATCTGCTGCATTAGTAATGAGATAATTCACTATGATCATTTCCTCAGGCAATGCTGAACATATTAAAGTATTCTTGTAATTAATTAACATCCTACCTGAGCAACATCTAGCAGATATATCTGGAGGAAAAAAGCAGTAGCACTCCCAGCCACCTGATTAGGTGCCCCTCCGATGGCAAAACACAGTTTGCTACACACAGAGAGCTTCTGCTCTGGATGAGTCTGTGAACACACATAAAAGAGCAAGGATCATAAGAACATGAACTCATAAACAAGTGTATCATGCATGTAATGTGACATATATGAACATTACACAAAGCTGGATACCATTGTGCAGGTTGATTATGAAGAGAATTCATATCATGAAGGAAAAAAGGCCTCATGGTGTAGAAAACCAGATACACAGCCAATTACAAAAGCATGTTGGATATAAATACATTAAAGGAACATATAGGATGTCACAGCAGTAGTAGATGAGCAAAAGGTTCCAGAATAGAGGTGTCACAATGTGCATATTAAAATTCATTTTGTAATACAATGCATGCTGTGAATCTAATATATTTTGACTTCATACTCTACATAATGCTATAAGATGTAATGATATGAATGGGAATGGCTCACTTTGTCCTATTAAAAGCACTCCATGATAGTCCTAAAAGAGAAGACCATGAAATTAAATCAACCATGAACCGTGACTCATGAGCTGTTGAGCTGCTAGCGAGCAATGATGGGAGAACAGGGAGGGGTGAGAATCCCCTGCTCTGAAAACAATTCATACCATCCCACAAAGGCAGCCATGCTAAGACAAACCATAAAACACAACTGCAGCTTGCAGCATATAAAATATACTGTTCATCATGTACGACTAGCCAAATTAAATGCAAACATTTAAATGCATCACAAACACTTGCTTGACTTTTTGTAAATCATACACATTTTACATTTCGTCGCAGTTGGGATCAAACAATTGTATCTCCATTTTTGTCATTTTTTGATCATTTGAAAAAAATCTGGTTCCATTAACTTCCATTCAAAGTTAAGAAGGTTTTTTCCTTCTGTAAAGTTACCTGTCTGGAGACACATGGGGCCTCATTCACCAACCATTCTTAAGAAGAAATTTCTTCTTAAAACCCACTAATGCAGTTTTCATGAAGTTTCTGACATTCACCAGTGTTTTCTTATCTGGGATTTGTTCTTAGGTAAGAACAGAATCTACACGCACTCAAGAGCACAACGCTGTGAACAGTTTTGTAGTTCAAGAACACTTCATGAATCCGACATAGACTTTTGCTTAGGTCCTTTCTCAAGAACAAATTTAAGACAAAACTTAGAAAGAGATTAGTAAATGAGGCCCAGTGTTTTTCTTTTTTCTCAAGAGTGATCATCTGTTTGTCTTGTAAAATTCTTTCTTTGTGTTAGTTATGTTTTACTAGGCATTTGTACTTAAATACAAAAAATGCTAATAAAAGTAGTGACAAAATGCTGGCATTTCTTTTTCACTACTGTATTATCGTATCATAACCACAACTAATATTGTATCATAAAATATGTATCGTTACACCCCTATTCCATATATTAAAACTGAACTCTGAACTGAACTGAATCTTTCCACACCTCCATGTAATTCAGGCGTAGGAGTAACAAAGCGGGCACCAATATCTGTTTGCTAATGTATAGTCTGAAATCTAAGTAGGTGGTAAATGACAACTGAAGTTGTTTGTTGAAGTTGGTTTTAAAGCGAAGGCATAGCTGGTTAAAGGTCAGAGACCTTGCTTATGTGCAGCCATCTCTGAAGCTCATTACCGAGGCTTTGGGTGATATGCATAACATATGGTTCTCTGATGTGGTGACCGCACACTCAAACCCGCTACTCTCAGTTTTCTAGCATATGGGTGGGATGTGGTAGCCCCCCAGACCCTGTCATCAGCAGCAACCCTCTTCTACTGCTTTTGCAAGATATAAAAACACTGTTCAACTGTGCCTGCCAATCAAAGAGACCAACTTTCAACACTACAAAGAGACTAGGCTAGGCATAAATGTGTTTCTGTTTACATTTGTGGGTGTAAATGATTTTCACACATTAAAAAGGACGCTCGTCTCTGAATGTGTGCAGAAAGAATTAAGAATGCGTGTTTATGATAGTGTGTTGTGGAAGTAGTAGCGGATGGAAGGGAGATCCTTTTTACACATTAAAGCGCAGTGGGCTTGGAGCTAACCACAGCATGGAGAGCCTTATATTTATGACTGTCTTTTTCTTAAGATCCTGGAGACAGCCAGACAGGCTGAAAATACAACACAGAGCTATACCGAGCGCCTGCGTTTCCAGGCTTCGTCCCGCTCCTTCATCTGCACGATGTGAACCAGCTTTGGACATCCCCATGCACTCTCTTTCCCCTCGGGGCTGTGCCTGAGAAGGGCAGCAACAAAACAACCACAGAGGGCAAAGCCAATCGACCTTCAAAAGACACTATAATTAACTGGTTGATTTTTCATTTTCTCTCTTTTGCTTGCTCTCTCTCACTTTCCCCTGTCTTAAAAAAAGGGATGTCTTCTAGAAGCACAATTACCAGGAGACTGCCATGTAATTATTCAAAAGGATGGCGTGCCTGACATGAAGATCAAAGAAAGCATGTGCTCGAGCGACTTCAAACTCAATCCCCTAAGTGCAATCTCTCCACTTCCTTACACTACAATTACTCTGCAACTGGAAGTTAGTGGCATTGGTATTAAACTTAGATCTGCATTTACTATCTATAATCTTAAAGCAAAAGTTCAGCCACATAATCAAATTTGCACATTTTTTCCTGTAGCCTAAATGCAACCAAGACTTATTGGTGCTGAATCATCGCACCCTCGCCTCAAACTGCTTCAAGCTATAAAAGAGGAATTTGTACAACAAATGAATGGTAAAGATGTTCACCATTCAGATTTGTTTATGTGAAATGCTCTGATCTAGAGAAACATATAGAGTCGAAATTCACAGCAGAGGTGATAGGAACCAGCCATCTGACCTGTTTAACATCTCTAAATCTAAAATGTCTAACCCATTCATGGCAGAGAAGAAGAACATGCAGGGCACCATGAGACAAAATAGCACACAAAGAAAACTTTTCCAATTTTTCCAACTATCTTAAGATTGTCAACATCACATATCAAAAGTGTTTGTGTGGATGGTAAACAAAATGGCTAGATTTGCACTGTAAACATTGCAACTTGTGGTAAATAATATCAAATACACTTGTTTGTGTGCTTTCTGACATATACTGTTATCTACAAAAATGGATAAAAGTACTTTGCACAACTACAAACAGTAGAACTGACCTTCTTTAAGTTTTTATTTTGAACATAGCTTTGTCCATTTTCACAGATTGCATGCCATACAATGTCCAAAACCACATAAACAAGTCTATTTGAAATAACAACTCGGCAAGATTTGAGGCAAATATGCACGGATTTAGACATTCAGTTTACACAAGGCTAATTAGAGTGCATATACTTCCATTACTTGTTGGCTACATTAATCTGATAGCTCCAGTGCAAAAACAAAGAAACGGAGTTCAGGCACCTAACACGTCTTGGCTGATCTACGTTTGGGGTAAGGGGCTGCAAAAAATGATATATTAGCAAGTGAAAATATCTTACATCTAGTCAATATGTCTAATATTATTTATGCTTATTTGAATAAAAACGCCTAAAACAAGAAAAATTATCTGCCAATGCTGAGATCGTTTTACTTAATTAAATTCCTTAAAACAAATAAAACTTCTGAATATATGGTAAACAATCTTATAATATTCCTACAGCCATCTCAAAATGAGAAATAATAGATATATCAACTCACTTTAAGATAATTCACCTGCATTTTTGCAGTTTAGTGAGATTTTAACATATACACATAATCACATACGTGTTGTGATTAAGATTAAGATTAGGATTAATCATTTCTCAGGACATTAATGCGAATCATTCAAGTCGTAGACCTAACTGTTGCCTCTCCTGCAACATGGCACTAACGTCTGATCACTCTTTCTCACAGACATTTGCTGATGTCTTATCATGACAAACATAAACAGGAAATCATTCAGTGTCTGGGCACAAAATATCTGACTTCCTCACAGATAGTGCACACTACAATCACGACAATACGGCACCAAAGGGAAAGCTGCCAGGAATCAGAAGACACAAAGCTAACTAGGTACTTTCCTTAGTTATCTAGACAACTACCTTGACACGCAGTCAGAAAGGGTGAGACTGAAAGATTCTGACTCATCCATTGCCTGATCTCATACTCCCAGCACCAAACCATCAAAGGTAAAGTGAATAGCATTTTTTTTTTGCTTGCCAGTCAATACTGGCTTGCTGCTAGGTGTGTGGCTGGCCGCATGGGGTGTCACTGCCCAAAAATGAGAAGCAGTTTCTATTGTTACTGTGACTAACATGGAAAAAGTGTTTTTTTCTGCTGTTGCAGCAGCCTATGAATTCCAGTATAACCAGATCTTGTCATGCCACGGGGTTTTCAATTGAAGAGCCCTCTCAGCTGCATCATGTAGCTGTAGCCCAAGCCTAAGGCTTAATCTGTGTCCAGAAAACCAGCTCTAAGAAAGCAATTTAATTACACAGAATCCATTTTATTCATTGCTTTATATCCCACAGATGATGCTCTAAGCTGATTGTGCGTGCCGCATGTTTGCAGAGCGCAGCCTGGGATGACATAATAAGGGGTTTAAGGGTTTATGACGGGTAGGATTTACCAGTGCATTTCATCAGTGGGCCAGCAAAGTGAAATTCACCTTGAATTTCCAAGCATATGTCCTCTGATAGCACACTGAACTTGGAATTTTACATATTTTGAGATGTACTGCACCTATATTTTGGATATGAGGACATCTATGTACATATTATGTCATGTTATTAAGCCTCCATGTGGGATGCAATCACATCTATTGGCATATTTTACATATATATTTTGGAAGTAAGGGAGTTTCTGTGCATATATTTCTCTTCCATATGGGAAGACATTACATATAATAGTCATACATTGCGCATATATTTGAATATTTTTTCTTTTGCGTGGGAAGAGATCATGTATATGGACATTTAAAACACATATATTTTGGATATGTGTAGCATCTGTACATACATTTTTCTTCCGTATGAGAAGCCATCACATATATTGGCATATATTGCACATATATTTTGGATATGAGAAAGTATATGTATATGTACATATTCATTTCCTGCATGGGCTTTGCTGTTTCTTAATCCAGACATGCTTAAATATTCAGAGTAGAAAACTGAGAGTGGACTACAGTTTTGTGTGTGAAACATTATTTCAAAAACAGATGATCAGCACTATTGTGGCAGATGTTGGTCTATCCATTTATTTACATGCAGTGGCCTTTCTGCATTAAGACTCTAGCCTAATGCCCTCAGATTAACTGTATGCAATCCACAATCCCCAACAATACTGTGTAAAAACATCCTCCACATTCCTCTTGCCATAGTTAGGTGTCAGCTCTATGTGAAATGAGTCAGTGTAGACGCGTGTAAGAGATGCTATCACCATATATTTATAGTGTTATCCACCTTTGCCTTTTGTTTCTCTCAGGGTAATTTGATTTCTCTGAATCTATTCTCTACCATGGCTCTACAATCGTTCTATACTCGACCACAAGGGGTCTCTTCTTCTCTCGTGATGAGATCTGTGAGAACAAGAGATGCATTAGTGTTTTTTCCCATATATTATTGACACATGCACAACTACCATTTTCCCCATAGTTGCTCAGTGAGTGGGTCACCAATAGAACACAGTATGAGAGAAGCTGACAGATATTCCGCTTGGCAGCCTCACGTGCTCTCTCTATTTGCTCCACATCTGAAGGTCACATTGCTTTGAGATTCTCCTGGTGGTTATGCACTGCTTCTTCCTTTAGAATGAAAGGGCAAGTTCTTTTGGATGTAAATCACTATGTGCTATTTTTAAATATAGACACACTGCATTTATTTGTCGCTTGAGCAGTTCCCATGCTGAACAGCTTTTCTCTCCATCCTGCCTAACACAACAGCTTTTGCTCTGATCACACTTGTGCTTTAGAACTGAGGCAGGGCACAAATTTCTGAACATTAGCCTAATTTGCTGAGCAAATAAGGCTAAATATAACAGATGGCTTTTTATGTGGCAGATAAGATGATCATAATGCAAGCAGCATTTGGCATTTCACATAGTTAGGGATAAATTCATAACATATCCCTTGTTTTCATGGATTAATTCTTTGGATCCACATAAATGAATAAGAGGGGAATTCCACCAAATCTTCAAAATTTCTGCATAATTTAATCCTTAAGATGTAAACAAAGTCATTCAGAGAGTTTTAGTGTGAAATGCCCCATTCAAGAGAAACTTACCAAGTCAGAATTGTTCACAATGTTAGTGATAGGAACCAGACACCCAAAGCATTTTATGTCTCTAAAAGCTACTTTGCAGCAACTTATTAAAAGGAATAGTTACAAATTTGCTTCCTGATTTGCTTCCCATGTGAGGCAAAGTTTCACAATAGTTGTGAGATGAAGTTCGGGTCTAAACTTTTTTTAGTCTAGTAGTGCAACTAGTACCCAAATAAAACTGTTTTTTCAGATCTACCACTATTTTACCATTATTAACAATACTACAATACTACATTACACAACAAAGCACTGTGAATGACGACTGAATATATATAGCACATGAAAAAGATGCTTGCTCAAGACTGATGTCCTTTGATAACAGCATAACTGTTAAGATGTCAGTGCAGCTTTGTAATGTACTCAGAAATATTACTCATTTCATTGGAACTAGACAGTTATATATACTGTTGAGTTTCACCCTTTATCTATCATCTAAACTGCCGGGGGGCATTTGAGCTGGGAAAGCATCAGAAAGTCCTGAAACATTCCTTCTATTCATTAAAACATGTTGTTCCACATACCACAAAAAAAATCCACCTGCACACCAACGCTCAGACTTTTGTCATAGCATAGATTTATCAAAGGACTTCAACACATCCTGTTCAACACATGTTCTCCTGTATACCTGCCTTGGTCTCACATAATAACAGGATACTGCTAACAGAATAGCAGGATCCCCCCTTGAACCCGTAATAATGTAAAGATGGCCATGTTATGCAAGATAAGAAATGAAGTAAAAAGTTAGGCAGCACCACTGTGAAGTCTTTAGAAGGCCTTACCTGTACAGGGACCTTGGTGAAGGCAGGTTCAGGATGCTTCATTATTAGCTTGTCCCCTGGGCCAGCCGGTGCCTTCTTCCCCTTAGCCATGACTGTGAGAGTGACAGGTCGAGCAACAGAGGCTCGTGTCTTCTGGCCCTCAGTTACAACTGCAGTCCTCCCAGCGTCCATTCACATGCTGCTTCACAGCCTTGGCCTGGGGCCAGGAAGGGAAGAGCCAACTCAGAGACATGCCCAAACCTCCTTTATCATCAGTACTGTTTTTGATACAAATACCTTTATTATTTCTGAACATTTTAGACTATTGTTAGTATGTATTATCAATTCTGTGACCTTGACAACTGGGTATAGATATATATATACACTATATATACACTGGACAAAAGTATTGGGATACTTGCACATCACAAATACAGGAACTTTTATGACATCCCATTCTAAATCCATAAGCATTAAAATGGAGTTGGTCCCCCTTTGCAGCTATAACAGCTTCCATACTTCTGGGAAGCTTTCTACAACATACTGGAGTGTGACTTTGGGAATTTTTGCCCATTCATTCGGAAGAGCATTTGTGAGGTCAGACACTGAAGTTTGACAAGATGGCCTAGCTCGCAATCTCCGTTCTAGTTCATCTCAAAGGTGTTTGATGGGGTTGAGGGCAGCGCTCTGTGTGGGCCAGCCAAGTTCTTCCACACCAAACTCACCCAACCATGCCTTCATGGACCTTGCTTTGTGCACTGAAGCACAGTCATGTTCCCACAAAGTTGGAAGCAAACAATTGTCCAAAATGTCTTGGTATGCTGACACATTAATATTTCCCTTCACTGGAACTAAGGGGCCTAGGCCAACTCCTGAAAAACAACCCCAACCCCACACTTTACAGTTGGCAGAATGCAGTCAGGCAGGTTAAGTTCTCCTGGCATTCGCCAAACCCAAACCTGTCCATCAGACCACCAGATAGAGAAGCGTGATTCATTACTCCACAGAATATATTTCCACTGCTCCAGGGTCCAGTGGTGGCGTGCTTTAAACTACTTCATTGACACTGTTCTTGATTAAGAGGTGTGTCCCAATACAACTGTCCTTATAGTGTGTGTGTCTGTACATATATATCTATTGCTGCTGTCAGAAGAAAACCTTGTATCTCTAAAATGGTAACTTTACAGGAGAAGGAAAAAATCTACTTTACATTTAATGAAAGTCAATGAAACCAGAATTTTTAAGTAATTTTGGGTCATTTCTTTTGGTATGTATGAATGTAAAGAGCAACAGATATTTTCAAATTATGCCAAAAACTGAAAAACGACAAGGTTTTCTTCCGACAGCATATATATATATCTTGCTGCTATTCGTATTTCGTTTTGTACTTTTTTACGGACTTTGAAAATGCCAGCTCCTCTGTACAACATGCTAAAAAGCTTTAAAATTTATTGAAAAAATGAAGTCCTATTAATTTTCATTCATTAAGAATATTTTCCTTCTCCTATACAGTTACCATTTCAGACATATGAGGTTTTGTTCTGGCAGCTGCAAAAAATGGGATTCTGAACATATCATGCAATACCTGGTAGACCAACAAATCAGAAGCTGCTGGTGTTCTCAGACTATTGGACTGGCCATCACAGAGTCCAGTCCTCAACATTACTGCATTACTGGATATATATATATATATATATACAATTTATTTTGGTATTTAGTGTGTTCACACTAAGTATATTATTTGTTCTTGTTTGTTATTATGATTTTCTGTTATATATTATTTTACTTTATTGCAAAAGCATCAAAATCACTCCTCACTAACTGAATCTTGTTGTACAATATGTTATGCAATAAAGGAATAAAGGTATTCTTTTCTATATTCCGTTATATTGGGTTCAATTCACTCACATGTTTTAGTCTGACTTCTTCTTAACAGGCTCATTGACCAAACCCAATTTATCCACATATATGCTAACAAAAGGACACACAAGCACATAAACCACAGATTTAACACCCCCCACCCCACACATACCCCCACCTACAAATGCCTATCCTTAATGCAAACACATAAACGATGTGAAATTACACTCTCACAGCAGCATGCCAACCTGACACATAATAAACCTCACAGAAGGTAACAAGCAGCTCACAATAAAACGCACTACAATGCCTTTTGGCATGTCTGCTGATAATGACTGTTCTGTCTATCTGGGACCAGATATATCAACAAACATTACAGTAAGCAAAGCAAACATTCCCCAGTGCTGGGCCTTTAGGTAATCTGATAGAGCTGCAGAATTTCCCAGTATACACAGAGCGATAGCTGACCTGGGTGATGGAGCCACGGCAGCGTCCCTAACCAGTGTGCTCATTCCAGATGAAGCAGACAGAAGACTGCAGGGGGCAATGTGTTATTTTTTCACACCCGCATTCCGACACGCCCCGCCTCCTGTGTTAGCAATGGGTAATATTGTCCCGCCACGTGCTCTAGGATTGGCTAAGAGTTAATACTCGCAAACAGTCCGTCCAATCGTAGCGCAGGAGGCGATGTCTAACGGAATGCAGGTGGACAAAACACAACAGCAGGGGCTGACGCTGCCGTTAAGGCTAATACAGTCTTAGAGGGAAAAAGGCGCCCCCTAGTGGAAAAGCGATGAATATGACGTAAACAGATCCAGTGAAGAGCGTTCTCTAGCGATTTCATAATGAAGAGTGTGTTAGTTTTCCGTGTGTCTAGTCTCACAGAGCCCTTGGCTAAAACTTTCAGAGGGCAAATAATGCTAACTCCATTTTCCTGTTCTTAAATAGACTGTATGCCTGTTGATGTGGGATAGTGTTTCCCAGCTCCATAGTTCATCCACATCAGTTTCCCAACAAATCAGCTAATTAACAAATCCTTACTGAGTTGCAGTGGGTGTTTTACGGAAGGGAAATCATTAACATGGACAAGACAGCTGGCCTCCAGGACCAGGACTGGGAAACACTGCACAGTTTCATGTTCTACTTTTCCTAACATGTATCAGTCTCATTGGTAAGTTCATGACATGACTCAGCTGCAGGAAAAACAAAAACTTGTGAAGTTCAGATGGACCTCCAGGGCTGGAGGAATGGCACGCCATAGAGTCAGCTGGCCAAACCTGCTCTTGGAGATTTACTGTACTGTTGAGTTTAGTTCCCTAATTTCAGAGAGGCTATGAGGTAGTTATAATTTTCTGGACTGTTATCTTGAGATTAAAGTTAAAGTTATTTTCTCAAGATAACTTGATAATCTTGAGAAAAGTAAGTTGTGTGATATTGAGAAAACACCTTTTGTTATCTTGAGATCTTTTAACAATGAAGTTGTGATCTCAAGAAAACAGTCCAGAAAATGATAACTACCTCATGGTCTTTCTGGACTTCCGTAAGTACCAGTCCAGGGTGCCTTAAACAAATGAAGATTCCTCACATAGCCATAAACGCATAGCCATAGACGCCTACTCATCCAACAGTTCCTCTGAAATCAAGGGTAATAACAGGGAGTTTGCCAAGAACTGATGATGGGTGTTTAGTACTGGATCACAAATGGCAACTTTTCCCACAGATATTTGATAGTGCTCCATTATTACAGAGAATGCAATTCCTCTACTCTACAGACCAATACTGAGGGATACTTATACCTCTCTAGCTGACACATGGCTTTGAGCATGCCGGTCTTAGGTCCGTGTGTGGCTATCCAAGGGCATCCCATTCTGTTACATTACATTTATGGCAATTGGCAGATGCTCCAGGGAGACTTACAATTTTATCCTGTTACAAAGGTAGGCAAATGTCGCTTTCAGGGTCTTGCTGAAAGGCGTTTTACTGGCATAGCATGGTGTGCTTGCCCTTCACAAAACCTAACCCAATTTTGCTGCAAGACAGCGGTGTTACCCATTATGCTATTGCTTTTCTATAATGATTATAAAACTGTGTGTGCATGCGTTTGTTTGAACTGCCAGTTGGTGCACCCTCAAAGTGGCAAAAAAATAGAAATGTTGTATACCCATTCACCTCCTACAGTGGTGCCAAAACAGTCTTAAGAGTGAGATTTTCTGGTTTAAATGCTGTGGAAACCCTCTTCTGATGATGTATCTTGAAGGAGATGGAAAGAACCTTTGAAAAAGTACAAGTGCTTTGGGGCAAATACATGAAGAAAGCTATTTGAAATTGCTTTTTTTTTGTGCTATCTATGTGGAAGCCAGAAGGCAAACGTCACTGCTGGGAAGCTTGATATTTTGTGTGTGTTTATTATCCTCTGCATCAGAGTACATCAGTGTATTTTTTATCCCAATGCTTTGTGTGATGTATTTTTGTAATTCATACTGGGTACTGTAGTGAGACTGGTGATGGATGAAAATCAAAAAGGATGCAAAATCATCAATTCTGTCGAATCAATTCTGAGGAATGGAATTCTGTACTGCAGAATATAACACACAACACAACAAATAACATATTACATGCTAGTTTTAGGCTGAATGTCCCTTTAAAGTAGCTGAATTCAATAGTTGGAAGGGGTATCTTGGCTATTTGCACATACAATGTAATTTAAACCAAAAGTCAGGCCCTGTACAGTAGGAGAACAAGTAGGGGACATTTTATTTGGCACTTTACTCCTCACTTTGTATTCAAGTCATGCAGTTTACTGAGAAATGCTGATTTGTGAAATGCACCCCTAATCTACCATCTGAATGCACTCAGGTAGGTTGGAACTAAACTCTGAATACTTCAAAATCTTCAGGAATGTGGTTTGGTGCTCCTGCCATCGTAGTTTCCCACGACATGCAGTTTTCTAATGAGTGAACACAAATTTGCAGGCAAACATGGAACATGCAAAATGAACTGCATCCCATAACAAGGCCCAAGTGAAATCTATGAATTCTGCAACTATTTGTGAGAGTGTAATCACTCTAACCATTCCGGTTTTGATACTGAAATACAATTCATCTGTAACTGAAACTGATCTGTTGCAGTTTCCCCAAGACCATAAATGAATTTTACAGTCTGAATGTATCTTAAAGTATCAAAACACTAAAACATGTAGGTAAATTAATTGCCTGTAAGTGCTGGCTTATTGTAGACTATCAACCAAATAACATCACAGTTGAAAATTTCCAGTGAAAGAAATGTGAAAGCATGTGAAAGCGGATGTTGATTCTTTGTAGATTGTAAAAGCAACAGCTCCAGAGCAAAACCAGCACAATACCTGCTCTACAGCTTGCAAAGACAAGGTCCCACATGGCGTTATATTTCCTTTAAAATTCCAAACATTATGTCCGTTCAAGGAAACCAGTGTTATTGCAGGGCCTATGCTTGGGCCAGGAAATTAGCCATATGCTCTGCATTATGTGTGTAGGTCTACAGATAATGCTAAACAATGCATGAAAATAAATACAAACATGAAATGCTAGTTTCCAGAACAATACTGGAAAACAAAATTTGAAAAGTACATCTACAGTCATGCCTTGAATATGTCATTTTGCTGATTATGCATGCCCATCAGCCCATTCAAGGAAAGGTGATTAGACAGGTTTTAAAATCCTAGATTTGTAAAACCTAGATTTGAGAAATGTTTATGGAGTAGGCCAGTACTAACCACCAACTGAACACTTCATATGCTCAGACACAGAGAATCTATTCCAGTCTTTCCTCTTTAAATATTGAACATGAGTAATGGGTCATTATGCTGTGTATTGGGAGGAAAATGTTCCAAGCCTGTTAAGGCATGAGAGACTATATGGAGCAAACAATCTAGGTTAGAAAAGACTCCAGTCTTCTTCTCTTTCAAAATAATGAATAATAAGAAACAAGTAAAGCTCCATTGTTAAATAGATTTATTGCACGCAGAGTTCCTGTACAAAAGAACTTCTCGCTTAGGCAAAGTGCATATACATGTCTGCCAATTGCAAATAAACTCTGCCTTAATGCTTACAACATACCAGCAAACATTTCAACACAAAAAATAGTCTCACTGCTGTGGTAAGGCAAAATGCAATCAAGCCTGTGCTAAACACAGAGAAGTGCAGTCTGTGTCTATTTTTACTGCTCAGACGGCAGTTTCCAAGATATTTATTGAACGCTGATATTAAAGACGTGGCTTGTGCATACTGCATTGCATCAGAGGAGGCCAAGGCATCCAGCTAGGGAAGAATAAAGAATGAGTCAGAAATAAGTACTGCACCAATAAAGTTCATAATATTTGCAAGGTTCAAGCTATATGCAGCAGCATGACTAACAGGCCAGGGAGTCCTCATTATTGCCTTCCTTCTGGAAAATGAAAACGTAAGGTGAAAGTGATGGGATTTCTTTCATTTATGTCCTTCTTCCATTCATCATTATGTGAAGTTCTTAGGATATATTTTCACTGTATTGATTAAGTAGGAAGTTTGAGATGGTAAGGATTCTTTAAGCAGCTTTTTAACTTTCAAATACTGGGAGCTGTTGTGCTGTTGAAAATGTTGTGAACTGTTTCTCCGTGCTTTAAGGTGACCAAAGTGGATGACTAGTGGATCTGAGCATTTCTGTTTCTGTTGGATTCAGTCAGGAGTGACCGAAGGGTGCTTGTGTGTTGAGTGGCCGCTGGACAATCACAGCATTTGTCAGGTCAGCCTCCTCTAGGCTCAGATCCCCTTCTGTCAGCTCCCGAAAAGGCAGAGATGTGGTTAAGATGAACGGTGAGCTTGTCGTCTGGGCCTTCTCCACAAAATCTTGGACATCACTGATTCTAGAAAGGCACAATATGGATATACATTACTCTTTATGGCTTTCTTAGCCCACCAGCACAACAACCATGTTAAAGCCCACTGCCAGAAAATCCTTACATGCTATGACGCCGCACGTTAAATCTCCCCTAAGCTGATTTGATTTGCAGCAAGGATGAGGCTTACAGTTTTTTCCCTCCATTTTAAAGGGGGGGCTTATATTACATAAATGTTGAATTGAAGTTATGTAAGAGCTCTTAGGTGTAGAATTTCAGAGCTACACCATTACAGCCTGCAAGATTTGATTCTAGCAACGCACTGCCCAATCTGCGCACGCTACACTCACCGGTGAGAAAGGTTAAACCTCTGGACGAGCCGACGGCCATCCGCCAGCCAGATCTGGAGCGAGGTAATGGGCAGGTTTTCGTCCAGCGGCACTGGAGGGACAGCAGGGCTTGAGCAGTCCTCATGTATTGACCGAGACCTGGCCACTACGCGTGGCGCCACGCTGAGAGAGACAGAATCAATGCAGCATGAATAATTCCAAATAGCACGGCATGCTTTACAGTGTTTGAGCTTCAATATTTGCTGCCTTTCACTGTCGTACTGATATCATTTTACAAATAAATGCCTGTTTAACAATTAGGACTCAATTAACCCCTTACATTTCAAGGGCCTGTATATTGACGCTGTCCAAAGAATCTCCATTTTTTTTAGATTTTTACTTCTCCTCATCATTTGAACATGGGAGCTGTCCTTTACATTGTGTGAAAATTCAATGATGACTGGGCCGATAGAAATGCTCTAAAAGCGCTTTGAATAAAATGCCTTTACATTAACTTACATTGAATGCAAAGAACATTTATGCCCTTTCTTGTGAACTTTTTAGAGATACTTGTTTTTCTTTGGACAGCGATGATATGAAACATGGTTCAAATAATGGTGTCATGAGGCCACTCTAAGTGCAACGTAACCTTAAAAAATAACTTTAACAAATAGATTGTGTTTATGTGAGCTTTGTTGAAATGTAATGTAAACCAACAAAATTATTAATGCTGAGTTAATGTGTATTAGCCTATTTTCCCTTTTCTTTTTATTTCTGCACACTTTTGGTGTTAGGGGGGCTTTAAATTATTCTAAATATGGTGTCAGCGTACTGTTTTTCTAATTCTTGCAGGGAACTGTCTCCAATCTTTGAGCCTCCACAGGCTATGCGGTCTGAAGCCTATCTCATTACATTCATACAGTACATATTAGTTTTATAGTAGTTACTAAACAAGTCATAGCTACTGAATAATAAGGCTTATGGTAATAACTAACCAATAAGCCTGTGGTTTATGAAGTAAAACATATCTCATTCTTCAGGTAATCCTTAACTTACCACATGACATAATCTCAAATAAAAGAGCCAAGAGGCCATCTAGTGGATTTCTAACGCACTGACAACTCAAGAATTTGCCAAACTCACAATTTTTATTTAAGATGGTTCAGGCAAACCTGAACAAAACCTAGTTTTGACAAATGGGCAAGGGTTATAAACAGAATAAACAGAATAAATATAAAAGACATAAATGTTTTAAAATACACTGAAATAAAGACAGGGATTAAACTGCCAGGAACACAGTGAAAGCTGAGTGGTTTTCTAAATTACATTTTGTATTCATGTCATTAATGCCTCTTCTTGGTTAGAGAATGATTGCAGTAATATACCCAATCCAGCACTTCACACTCCTTTCTGATTTAAGCCATACCCACTTTAGGTTTGTATTTTAAAAGAATAAATTAAAAAATGTATAGTTCAGTATTATGATCAAGGTATCAGTATTGGAACGGAACAATTTTGAACGATACCCAGCTTTAGTCCTGGCCTCTTAACGGTGGAAAAAGGTAGTCTAGATTTTGGAACAAGCACGCTTTTAGGCTCAAGGATGTTTTTTTAAGATTGACTACTTCTAAATCTGATATTGAATTACATGATTTTTTTTTCAATACTTGGTAGTACTGAAGTAATGTGGTCGGAATCATAAAAGTAATGATTTGTTTTCATGGATGACCAAGCATACTAAAGAGGAAGATCTGAGTTCCTGTGGAGGATTATAATTTTAGACCCAGTTTGTAAACAGCAAGGAACAGTGGCTTTTAAGGCCTGGAATTCATTGATAAATAGATTAAAAATAAAAAGTCACATTCAAACCACCACAATCAGTAGAACCACTGAAAAGGCTTTCTTTACCTGCCTAGTCTATAGCCTCTGCCAGTAAAGGGAAGAAATGTCTTCTTCTTTGGAACGTAGATTTCATCCTTCATGTCCTCCACATTGACCTCCAGCTCCTCATCCTCTGCTCTCCCCTCCAGCTCCAAAGGCAGTTCCCTACAAACAGATGTTCTCGCTGAGTACACTGGGGAGGAGGCTTGGAGATGTGCATATAGTTTAAATACTATGGATAAGGCACATTTTGTTATACATACTGTGTCTGCCTTTGTATTTATTTGTATTATCAGTTTACTATTTGTTTTCTAAGGCTCAATGATTTGGGGAAAATATCTGCAAAAAAGACCTTTTTGCACCAGAAATACCAGCACATCTTTTTTTTTTGGACTGGATGCTGAATGTTGTTCCCAACCTCTGTGTTTTTAGTGACAATTAATTGTCTAGCTCTATTATTTTCTATACTGCCAACTTATGTATGAACTATTTTCAAATGTATGCACCTTTTAAAAAGACAAATTCCTAGTACACATATTATAGCAGGCCAACAAAGTGATTCTGATTCTGATGACACATTTACCATGAATGCTGTCACATATAGTTGCAGTACAAGCCTTACCCTCGTTTAATGGCTTCAAGGAACTCCTGGTTCTCCTCCAAGGTGTAGCTGCGCAAATCCTCATCATTCACAGTGAAGCCATCTTTCCACAGTCTCACAACAATCTCCACCTGCATTATGAATAGCAGTTGAGCAAAGCAATCTTGAAGCCAAGACAAAAGGACACGTGTTTTTCACAAAGTGTATATTCACAAGCAATAAGGCTTTGGATTTTGATGCTGCCGAACTATAAATTACTGAACCTTCTTGCCACCTGTGGAGACACTCCCAATTTTCTCCACCTCATCCAGAAGATCCTCCACAGAGAAACTGGGCCTCATGGGGGTCTCCTCCTCCTCCTCATCATCATTCTGAGCACCATCACACCTAAGAGCTCATTACACAGTAAGGGTAATGATGGTGAGACCATAAAGTATGACTTTGAGAAACATGTACTATATGTCCAAATGTTTGTAGACACCTTTGCATCCAATATTTCTCCTGAAATTAAAGGGGACCCTCAGCAATTTTTCAATTTGCAATCTGAATAATTCAGCCATTAAGAAGGGTGTAAATGGTCAATCAGTGTGGTTTGATGTGAAATGTTCCATTCTAAAAAAACACCTGATTCAACTCATCAGCTAGTAACCAGGTTTAGTTATCATTCTAGAGCAGGGAAATCACTAAACTGTGCTGGACTCCGGCCTTTAGTTGCCCACCCCTAGTTGATCGTTTTTAAAATCTGAAAATGCACATGGCAATACGCCAGGCTTTGACTATGCCCCAAGCCATTACATTATGTTGCCTGATGTCTGAGACATTGTTTTACAACTTGGAAGTTGGCTTCCAAGCAAGGAGGAATAGGCCCCCACGCAGCTACGCCCCTGCTTCAACTCATCCCAAATGTATTCATTAGTGCTCCATCACTCAAGAGAATGCAGCTCCACAGCCCAATGCTGGGGGCTTTATACCCCTCTAGCTGATGCTTGGCATTAGGCATGGTGATTTAAGCTCATGTGTGGCTGTTCCAGAGTGTCCTATTCTATTGACAAGGCTTTCTATGGAGATTAAGCTGTGTGTGTGCAATGAAACATCTGTGTCAGCGATGTCTGCACTTTAAATTAGCTGAATTCACACGAATAGAAAGGGGTGTCTAGATACTTTTGGACATAGAGTGTACACTACTGTAACATCCAAGCATCATCATAGCAGATAATGATAATTGTAGGGAAAAGGGTATCAAACTTTAACAGTTAATACTGAAACAGTGTAAGGATATTAGGCTCACCATGGGCCATCCTTGCCTCTTTCCCCTGAATCAATATCTTTCATCACGTCTTCTCTTTCCCATCTTGAAACGAAAAAAGAACACATTTGCTTTGAGTGATAACACAAAGTAAGTAGAATTGAGAAACTGAAATTGAATTGAATAGTACAATGTGCCACTTGTACATTCAGTCATATAGTCTGAAATTAATGAAAAAGGTGACAGCCTGCAGTCAGGCTGCAGATAGAAAGCTTTGGGAAACCAGAACATGCCTGTTCGTTTCACATTGCATGGGGGCTATTTCGAAGTAGCTCCTATTCTGTATCTTTAGGAGGCCAGACTGCCTCTCCCAGCCTTGTGCCCTCTGAGATGACAAAATAACGCTTATTCCAAGATGAATGGCGATTAAAAACCCAATAAACTGACAAAAAGACTATGATAACGCTGAAAGCCAGTGGGCAACGCTCACTTGAACCGCTTCAGTGCGATGAAAGATGGTCGTGTGAGGTCAATACACACCGTTTAAAATGTACATGGCAATACGCCAGGCTTCGACTACGCCCCAGACTATGAATGAAAATCCTACCCAACCAACAATATACCTTTATTACCAAAATCACCCAAGACCCTGTAGCCGGTGCGCCAAAATTACATAAGGAGAGTGTGCGGACCACGCAAGCGCAGTGGACGCCTAAGATTAGCTCAGATAAACACAGCTAACAGCCGCCGGTCACACTCAAAACATATCGATTCCGATAAAATAACTGTAAATCATTACCAGTTTGGGATTCCATTCATATATTCATACAGATGTGTCTCGAGCTTCAAAGTTTCTGTCAGCAACGCCACCTTTCCCCACACTACAGCTGCACAGCCATTACTCTGACGTCAACGTCCACCAGATGACGTAACATTTGTTAATATCTGAAAAGGAAAAGAAATTGAGGATTTAAAAAAAAATGTTTTTCTCTTAAAATGTAATTTTCCTTTTTTTAAGTAATTATTTAATGTAATGCATTACTTTATTTTTTAAAAATATTTTTGAAGTAGTTTGTTTCTGAGTGCGACCTTTATTTCTTTCTTTAAGTGCTATGTGCAGTGCATTTCTAGTAATAAATAAATAAATAAATAAATAAATAAGAAAGACTATTTTCTGATCAGCCTTCTTATACTTTTTGCAAAGTTACCCATTCGCAGAAATAAAGGTAACCACAAATGATACTGTCATTAGTTTTAAACAAGAAATTAAACTATATACACCGTATTTCTGCTTCAAACAATATAAAAGCACTTGATTATTTTAAAACCTAGCAGTTATACATTTTCCTTTCTGTAAATTTTATGTGCATCTCAGTGTGTGCATATGAGATCAGCTCTGTGTTGCTGTAACATTTACTGTAAAAGCATGTGTGCTATTGTTTATGTCCATTTTTCATACAACAGGTTTAATACTGTGCGCAACAGGTACCTTGTGATAATGGACATAACAAAATGCTGATTTAGTTGGCACTAGACAGAAATGCCTGATTACAAGTGAGTCAAACAAAATGTGTTCCAATTAACCAATTTCAACCCTTTAAAACCCCAGGCTTATTACCTAGTAAGGCTTATTATTCAGTAACTACAGGGACTTCAATGCAAACTGATTGAGCTATTGTTAGGTTATAGAAGGATGTAATAAAACTTTGTGTTAGTTTAGCCTGTGAGCAGTTTTTTTCTATAATGTAATGGAAAGAATACTTTATTCTATATAGCCCAAACAGAATCCCTTCTATTTGTTTTAAACATTTTCTGTGAAAAATTAAGAATATTGTCAGTTCCTTCTTGGATAAGTGGCTTAGAAAATGTGTGTGTGTGTGTGTGTGTGTGTGTGTGTGTGTGTTCCTTCTTGGTAACAAAATAATGCCTTATCTCACAGAGGGGTTATCACACCTTAGTGAAATTCTTATTTAATACATATATCTTAATTAATGTATTATATATATTAATTAAGTTATACATAATGCACATCCACACTAATTTTTTAAAGCTAAAGCATTTTGGCTTGGTTTGGTTTAGCGTTGGAATTTCTGAAGAGAGCAGGTCCTCATTCACTGAAAAATCTCTGGAATGTCTACTTTTTTCTGAAATGACTGAATGAATATTCCACAAACATTACAGTTCACATGTATTCGAGTAGAGAGCCTATATGGAAGCCCTTATTAGCCACTTACAAAAAAATCCAGCACGTATATATGATAGTTTTGTTATTAGGTGAACTGCTATGCCGTTAGTTTGTGATCCTATCTCATTATTTTGAGATAACAAGCAGTTATTTTAAACCATCTCATTATTTTGAGTTACTTTCTCGTTATTTTGAGATGCTTTCTTGTTGGATAGTATTTCAAAATAATGTCTTAGCATCTCAAAACAATGGCACAGGCATTGACTAAGAATATAAAAACATTAGGTGCTGGAATTTTAAATCTTAAAGGGCAGGAATTGGCTTCAAAGAGACAGGTTATCAGGCACAGTGTTTAAAAGTGAAGAAAAGGTAAACCCTAACATTTACCTTTTCTGTTTAGGTCAGCAAAAATAGGTTTTAAACCACCACTGTAGATATGTGATTATGTTAAAGGGAACGCGTGTGTGAAATAATTTAGAAAATTTGGAAATTTCCTATAGAAATTCTTAGGCGGAAGTGGCCTTGTGGATAGTTTCACTTGCCGACAGTAGAGGGGGAGAGCGAGAAAGAGAAATGGCGCCTCGGTACTCTAGCTGAGACAGTCATACGAGGGAACTGACAGAGCTAAGGAGATTCAAGACGCTAGAAAAATCATGGTGAACACGAGAAAGAGCTCCCAGGAAAAACCAGGCAGTACTTTCATCTCCTGCCGGACGAGGTCGTCTCCTAGGAACAATCCAAAGTTGGAGGAGCAGATCCATGTAAGAGCCGGGTCCTTCTCCTCAGCACCCGGCTGGCTAGCCAGTTTTGCTTGCAGCGAGCTGCTTAGTTTGGCCTGAAGATTGATGTCCCTTCATTGATAGCTAGCTAGCTACCTCTTTTGTTCACGAATACCGATAATGACACTCACCGACGAAAAAATATTTACGTTACTTGTGAATGACACGACAGATATCATCATTGCCGGTCATTTTTCAGTCATAACAACACGACTATAATAGCTAGCCTAGCTAGCTCACTAGTTTATCGCACTCAGTGCCCCAAGTTCTCTTTGTGTTGGTGTTGTGCTTTGCCCGGCTCGAGAGGAACTACCGTTAACGTTAGCTAGCCGCGCTAGTTAGCGAGTTGAGGTTTGTCATTGCTCAGGCAACTGACAGCAACACAGCGAGGAAAACAAAGAACATTTTTGTCGGGGTGTTGTTCGCTCTATGTTGTTCGTTGTTCTTCCTTAAGCACAATAACCGAATTTCATGCAGGAAAAGCGAGGAAGGGAACGTACAGCTGAAGCAAGACCCCTTGTGGTTCAAACAGACAATGTTTTTATTTGGCTAGCTATGAAGTGAACTCCGTAAACTTGAGTGTTGTCACAGTCGTTGTTGCTGTGTTGGTGAATCATTTGTGCTATGTTGAGCTTGAATGAAGTTACATTGATCCGCTCAATCACGATATTCTTTTAGCTTGCTGATTATGTATTGCAGTAGAATTTTTTTTTCTTTTTTAATTTCTCCCACGGTGTTACAGCTAGAAGAAAGCTAAAGTTAGCTGTAGTTCATGTGGCTCGTTTTCCGTTTTGATAAAAAAAAAAAGTTTATTTCGTGGAATTGAAATTGACATTATATTAGCATACCTCACATATCAAATATTTTGTTAAAAAAGGAAAATCTATATGAGAAGGAAATATCTTTACTTTTTTCCTCAAATGTCTGTCAAGCTTGTTATATATTTACATGTATTTTGACTATTACAAAATGATACTATTACACATATTTAATATACATATGTATGTTTATGTATGTATGTACATATATGTTTGAAGTATCTGTATATATGTGCATATTTGGATGTTTAACCCCTGTTGAAGAAAAATAAATGCATGTATTAGTTCATATGAATAACATATGTGTATATGTGATGTTTTAAAATACACATCTTAAATATATTAAAATGTGCTATTTTAGATATTTAAATACATGTTGATGTATTTAAATACCAGTATTTGCACAGATGTAGATAAATATATGTAATAATGTATGTACATATATGAACACGCAGGTCAAAAATGTTAACATATTGCAAACAAATATTAGAAAAATATATGTAATTTTTTCATTCACACATGGACATATATGTGTGTGTGTGTGTGTGTGTGTATGTGTGTATATATATATATATATACACATACATGTATCATGTATATGTGTGTGTGTGTGTATAAAAATATATATAAAAATATATATGTGTGTGGAAAGAGTCAGTGGCTGCTGCAGTGGACAGGCAACTAAGAGAATGGGCAGAAGAAAAGGAAATTTACACACTTTGTGAGAGCACCTGAGGCAGTTGCTTGCATGATCAGTGGAGTGTGATAGATTCAGCTGTTTATTGGCAGGTCTGCCAGCCTTTGCCTTTTTCTGCCGCTTGCACTAATGGCTGGAAGGGAAGGTCCGTTTGCCAGTTTCAGCCAGAGTCTTCAATTCTGGTAGTCTTTTATACTACAGTACAGGTTGCACCTACTGATTCACTAATGGATTATGTTTGTGTTATTTGTATTTTAATCTCCTCCAGAAGGACCCCAGCAGTGATGTCAGATCTGGTAGTCCACGCTTGTCGCCCCCATCTAAGCGAGCACGCAGACAGACACCCCATTGCTCCAGTGACACTTCCCCCAGTCCCCAGAGCAAAGGGCAGAGAGTCACATGGAATATCACCAAACACTGCACCAGGTGAGCCTATCCCATCCTGCAACAGAGGGGTGTAGTACTGAGCTGGATTTATGGGTTTGCAAGCCTACATGGGAGTCAACTTAAGGTGGCACAGAACAAAGGTAGTTCTAGTTTAGTTGCTTTGCGTGCAATCATTATAGTTCTGTCCTGAATCACCAGCTACCTGTTAGAAGTGATCTTGCAGTGCTGTATACACAGCAGTGTTTTTTGAAAACCTTTTTGTGACACACGCTGACTTAAACACAGTCTAAGAATTTTTATTTATCATAGGCTTCATTTCTTTAGCGAGGATTAGTCTTTCTGATGCTGCGTTTTTGTGTCGACATAGCAAAAAAAGAAACAAGAAAAATGTTGTTCTGTGCCTCATAGCAGAATTGGAGTAAGTAGCGACTGTACTTGTCTGATGGTGGCAAGCAGTCATGTGAACTTTGCCATGGTGATGAGATTACTGGTATAACGTTGGCGTTCTTGCATGGTAAAGGTACTGTTATGTGCAAAAGTTAAGGCACCCCTGGCCAAATGACGTTTTTTTGATTTTTGAAGTGAAAATACAACCTATACAGCAAACTATATAAAAAAAAGTCAACATTTTTTGCAAATGTTGCACGGTTACTTTATACTTGATTAAAGTATAGATAGAAAAAAATAAAATAGCTTTTGTGCATGTTTAAAAGTTTGGATACCTTTCCAGTTGTGAAAGTCCCAGAACATAATTAACTCACTGAATCGACTTGTGAAGACTGGTTAGGGAGGTCGAGAATTGCCAATAGGAAATGTTGACAATTCCAGAGTGTAATACGTTCACAGACTCTTTAAAACCTGTGCCCCTGCTTAACGGCCATGAGCTCCTCTAAGCAGATAGTTGGTGTTCTCAAAATGAAGCTAATTGATGCCTACAAAGATGGGAAAGGCTATAAAAAGATTTCCACTGTCCAAATCTTGTGAATAAATGACAGTTCAGGCAAACTAAGTGGAAGTCAAGGCAAGATTTAGAAGACTAAATATTAGCAAATTCTGGAAGCAAATCTGGCTCAGTCAGTCCCAAAACTGAAAAGAGGCTGTTTTTACAACAGGACAAAATAAACCTCACAATCCACTCTGAACTACTTCAAGAGATGCAAGCTGAAGCTTTTGGAAAGGGCCTTACAGTCTCTTAACTGTGGGTAGATCTGAAACATGCCATGCATGCAGGATGGCCCAAGAATATCGCATAGCTAGAATCGTTGTTCAAGGAAGAGTGGGTGAAAATTTCTTAAACAAGAATAGAAAGAGCTGGCTGCAAATAGCATTCACAAGCTATGATATCTGTCAGAGGTGGTGTTTGGTGTTACAAAGTAATGACTTAGTAAAGTCTCCAAACTTTTGCACAGACCAGAATTACTATTTTATTTTTTCTTATTTTAATGTTATCAAATATAATGTAACTGTACAGTAACGTTTGTAGATTTTGTAAAAAAAAAAACAGTTTGCTGCAGAGGTTGTGTTTATTTTTTTTCACTTTAAAAATCACCAGTTTGCCCAAACATTTCCATACAGCTGTATTATTCATTGATTTCATCTATAAAGTGTTTTGAAAACAGGCAGATGTTTTTCAGTATGTCTATGGTTGTGATTATATTGAAACTCAGGTTTTGTTGTACTTTGCTTCTACTTTAGAATTTTCCATTGCGGCTCCTCTGGGAAAAATATGAAATGTTTTGTTTGCCATTGTCCATCTACCAGTCCGCTTAACATTGCTATAACCATGTTTATAGTTTAAACAGTTACAATCATTGTAAAGCATACATGCTGAAACGCATCTGTAAACAAAAAGGTGCTGTTTGGGGTTTTGACATAGCCTGAAGCCATAACTGTATCTTAACATTAGAGAACTCAGTGGACTTCTGTTAGGGCTGAATTTTACTTTTAATAAATTGGCCTGAAAAGAATTTGCACGGATTGGCAAAAGATACTGTGATGAGTGGTTCACTGGTTTAGTAATAATAGTCATAATAGTCATGGTGGATGAAGATTGACGGTATAGATGGAATAGTTCAGTGATGGTGGAATTTATTTGTAATCCAGTTTGGATTTGCTAACATACTGTCTCTAAAACAGTTGTTGAATGTCAAAAAGTTAAACTATTTCACTGAGTTAAAATACTTGAACACAGTTTATTTAATAGTTATGCAGCCTTATTTTATGTTGTTTTTTTATGTGTTTCAGGTTGTCCACTGGAGCCTTGCAAAATGGACACAGTAAGATATTACTTTTTTATTGTTAGTTTATGTAGATAGCTGGTGTTCTGTTTTATGCTCCTAAAATGTAAATGTGGGTTGTTGTTAAAATAAACTGCTTCAGAGCGCTGGACCTTTTAACTGGGCACTATTTTCCCTTTACTACATTTATTTGTCAGAGATAAAGTGGATGGAATTGCATTTTACATAGTGGCATTTTACAATGCTTTTTTACTATCTGTGGTGTTCTTTGTTTGTCATATTTGTAATAATTTTATTTTATTATATACTTGTAGGGCGAATGACTCTGCGGGGAGATGACAGTACAGATGGGGACGACGCTCACGTAAACGGCCATGTTGAGCTAAAGAGGAGCTGTCGCTCTAGGAAGAGCCGGTTTGAGCACCTCAACCAGAGCCTTCTGTTCGACCAACTAGTCAACAGGTAATACGTTTATTCAAGATTCTACAGTTCTGAAGCTCTTGGAGGCGTTGGAATTATATGGAGTTTTGCAGGAATAATAGAAAAAGGTCTTAAAAAGGTGCATAAAAATGCTGTAAAAAGAGGATCTGATCTTCGTACAACTTATTATGAGATATTAGAACAGTTGTATTTAACAAACAAATTATTATTTAAATTGTCAAGCTTATTGACAGAAAATGTATGTGAATCTCTAAGACAATGATGTTTGTAAAACAGCGTAAGAGTTTCAGGCGTTTCAAGCATGTTTTTGGTTATCTGCCATATTAAAAGAATACACACAAATATGGTCACCTGTTCTTCACGTTAGAGCCCTTACAGAGGCCCTCTAAAAAAACAAAAAACTGTAGAGGCTCATAAGACTGAAAAGGGTTGAAAGAGGGTTTCTAATGAAGTGGTCCTTCTTCAGTGTGCAGTAAAGAATATAGTTTACAAATTAATGAAATTAAGCTACTGCTAAGGTCAGTGCTGTAGAATTCTCAGTCAGTAACCTTAGAGTAATAGCTAGAGATCTTTAAGCATCTCCTCTACCTGCCGATGTTCCAGATCAGCAGTCTGCTTTAAAAAAATCACTGAACAAGAGTGATGTTCATGAAAATTACTATTGCATTTACATTTATCGCAGCATGTTATTTTGGGAGAAAACAGTGTGAAGCATGGTGGTGGGAGTGTAATGGTGTGGGGCTGCTTTGCTCCCTTATAACCTGAATTGTTACAGCCATTGAAGGACCAACAAATTCCAGGTTATACCAGGAGATTCTACAGCAGAATATTAGGGCTTCTTTTTGTGACTTAAAACTCAAGGTTGGGTCACACAACTTGACAGTGACATCTATTAGTAGTATTTTTATGAATATTTTGAAATGTCCTGACCTTGTCACATTGAAATACTGTAGCATGACTTGAAGCAGGCTGCTCAAGCAAGACATCCCAAAATTATGCATGAACTACATTAGATTTATATTGAGGAATAAGCCAGAAGACCTCATAACCACTGCACAGTGCAGATGCAGATATGGCAGATACAGAAAACATTTACATTTAGTTTACAGCAATTGGCGACCGAACATTCTTCTCCTCATTCAGCGGTCAGTGGTTGCTTAGCAACGATACTCTACTCTTAAGAAACTACATTTCTTGGCGGAATACTTGTTCATGTTGATTTTTATTAATAATAACTATATTACTATATATATATATATATATATATATATATATATATATATATATATATATATATATATATATATAATTTTAAAACATTGTGTATTTTAATATATTTTATGTTGGCTGCTGTGTTATAAAAGCGTTAACCCACGAGGCAGTGGATTACTGTGATTTTATCACAGGGCTTCGCGTCATGCCAAAAAACGCCCTTCCCTGTGATAAAATCACAGTAACCCATGGTCTCTCGTGGCATATTTCTTTAATGACTTTCACCTTGTGGATTTAATGATTACAAGCTATTTTCCGAAATGCACTTTTAGTTGTTTTATTCAGTATTGCAAGAATTCTGTGAACAAGAAGAAATTATGTATGCATGATCTATGTGCATTAATAGTTATGTAATCTGCCTCAAGATTTGATCCCCATTTAAAAAAAAAAAAAAACAGTGAATTGTGTCTTTATTTCATTAGATCTGATTCCTGATGATATACAGCTTTCAAAGTCATTTTAGAATCGTCTACTGCTCTGGTTTGGACTCACTAAAAACAGTTTTATTTACAGCTTCCGATCGTTCTACCAGTTCTATAAATCCTGTAAAGTTGTGAAGGACTAGCGTTTAGGAATCACTTTATACACTAATAGGCAGTCAAATTGCTTTCATGTTTTTAAAAACATTCATTTCAGATATTTGAAGCAATTCTGGCCAGTAGTGTGTGTATTTACTAAATGGACTGCAAATTATGTTGAGTTAATGAGCCATTTTTTGAGTATTCTCTAAAAATGCTTTTTATGTAGCTGTTAATGTAGCAGGTGCTTTTAAAGGCAGGCTGCTCTTCATTCAAAGCCAGTTGGTCAGTGCTGGTACTTGGTTCTCTACAGGTGTTTGCTGTTCTCTTAGTTCAAGATGAACTGCTAGCCTGCTCATTTCAGGAGCTGCTTTGAATAACGTTAAGTGTAACTAGATAAATCTTCCACTTATCTGTAAAGGCAAAGAGCAGAGTTATAATCGCTATGCTTAAGTGTTTTTAACATGTTACCGAACTGAAGGTGTTAAGGTTGCAGTGTGATCAGATTAACAGAACTCAAGTGATAGTGAACACAAAAAATCTCAATGATGTAAGCATAGCGATAAACTGACTAAGGTCTCCCAGCGTGGCTTTATGGTTGAGATAGCAAGCTGGTGGTATAAGACAGATGGCTTGACTGTATTGGAGAGAGGAGACCTGCTGGAGTTGGAAACGGTAGAGGAGATTTTTGGGCTGCAGTGGGCAATGTTAATGCGTTAGTACTCAATGATCTGTATTTTGTATTGATTTAATGAGTGTGTATGTATCTTATCTATCTCTCTATCTGTGTATCTATCTATATAAGATGCTGTGCTAACAACAGAACAATAAAAAATACAAAAATAAATCATGTTTTTCCACATTTGAACTACAGGTTTGTTCAGCATTCTGTTTGAGTTGAGTTGTTTTGTGTGATTGACTTTTGGGACCCCATTGTTTTCCCTGTTGTTAGTACGGCAGAAGCAGTGCTTCAGGAGATGGACAACATCAGCAGCATACGACAGAATCGGGAAGTGGAGCGGCTACGGATGTGGACTGACACAGAACTGGTGAGTGCTGGCTTAGAATAGCATCCCAACTTCACCCTGATTTTTCACTAGAAAAGAAGAGATTTCTTGTATTTTATTGCATGTTGCAGTATGCTGCTTTATTGGCATCTAATGCAGAACTTTTTAGGGGAAATAATAGTTCTGGACAATATATTATCTGAACTGGTATAGCCTTTAGTCCAAGACTAAGCTTAATCCAGTTCCAGAAAACTGGGCTTTTGTGATATTTTAGCTAGATATTTGATAGAAAGTGAGCATTATGTCTATGAAATAATGTCCATAAAGTACAAATGTTCCTGTTGCCAACTGTTCATTTATTTATTTATTTTTGTTTCAAGTACATAAAAAATAGAATAAAAAAAGTCCAATCAACACAATTATGAATTATGTAGGGATTTTCTTATGGCATAGAGTAATAGTACTCGGATAGCATCTGTCCATTGACTTTATTACCACAAAACCTAAACATATCGCTTCATAACATGATATAGTGGTATGTTCAAAAGTATTGGGATGTTAAATTTAATCAGTATGGCAATAGTATTGTTTTCTTAGTCCAGCTGTATTTGACTTTTCTTTCATCTTCCTTGATTTAACAGGAAAACATGGACATGTATTCCCGTGTGAAGAGACGGAAAGCAATGAGGAGGAATACGTTTGGAATGCAGACTCACCATAAAGTCATCAGCAAATCCGAGGCACCTGAAGAGGAGGAAGGGACTGAGGGTATGTTCTTAACATTTAATTTCCCATCAGCAAAAATCACTGTTGCACATAGTCTTAGATGAATTTTATTATTTTTGCAGTCCTAAAATGGCCGACTGGAAGCTAAAGGTCTATCCACACTTATCCGGATGTTTGTGAAAACATTTTTTTTTTCTCTGTGTTTTGGCCTCCCACCCACATGAAGACACCCTTCCAGGGTGGAGACTTTTGAAAACTCTGTTTTCAGTGTTTTTGCATGGAAATGGCTGACAATGCATCATTAACTTGTGCATGACAGTAGTTGTTTTCATTTATCAAATAGAACTCTGAACTGTCTGAAATTTGACAGACAGCTGGGTTGTTTCTGTTGTTTCTGTGTGCTCAGCAATTTAGGGGTTATTTGGGAGATAATAACATGTTTATAATTGAATTTGGCTTATTTTGCCATTAAGCCCTATTGCAGAGGCATTAGAATCTACAGTGCTCAGTTCTTGTAAATGGGATGTAAACTGAAAATATTTAAATACCTCAATAATTCCAAAGGTATATGACTTAATTATTATTATTCACTAATCATTTCCTTTCTTTGAAAAATCCTCCCTCATGTTTTCAGAATCACATGAGGAGGGAGATGAGGATGATGACGGGGAGGATGATGAAGATGATGAAGGAGATGAAGCAGAGGAAGCAGGAGAGGAGAATGACAGACCTTACAACCTCAGGCAGCGCAAAACTGTGCAGCGATATGAAGCACCACCCATAGGTATTAATCCTCAGTTGCTGTTGAAGTTATTTAAGGGGCCTGTATTAATATTTATTACTATTTTGCAAATGTATCTTTCTATGTATTTATGTCCTCTTGCAGAGCCAGTGAACAGGAAACAAAGCAAGAACACATTGTTTGATACACACAGGTCCCCTGCAAGAAGAAGCCATATTAGGTGTGTAACAACCTCAATTATCAACTTTTTGTGGAATTAACATTATCTTATAATTTGTAATGTAGCAAAAAGTTTAGATTTTGAATTATAAACATATAGCATCTTATCTGGACCCATTTATCTCTGCTATGGGTTTTATATATAACACTTTTATATATATATATATATATATATATATATATATATATATATAATATATATATATATATATAAAATACAAGTTTTCATTTTTTGTTTCCTGTAATGTTTTGAATCAGAATAAAGAAGCATGCCATCCACAGTAGTGATACAACGTCCTCATCGGACGAGGAGCGTTTTGAGCGGAGAAAAAGTAAAAGCATGACACGTGCTCGAAACAGGTAATCTTAAACTTTTCACTTAGACCCTGCACTTTGAGGGTTTAGTTGACTTGAAGGTTTTTAATCATAGTAATGCAAATGTGTATCAAAATGTTTTAAAATAATCAGTTTTATAGTTATGCACATGAACTATCCATGTGACTGCCTATGGTGCTGATTAGGCCTGTGCCAGTTGACGGTTAACCACGTTATCGCCAAAACAGCCTCCATTGACTGCATCTCACTCACTGTCAGTGTAAAATTATTAATTTAATGATTTATTAATGCAAACTATTTAAAGACACTAGTTATCCCACACATGAACATAGCTAAAGTTTGAGCGTGATAGGTGATGTGATGTCCATGCTGTTACACGAATAAAAGGGTCCTGTTTTCCGGCACAGGCCTAATGCTGATTAACCCTCTTTCATTAGTCATCAGTTAAACAGAAAATTCTCAGGTTGGCTTCATCATTGAGTCATCGAGGGAAAGAAAATACAAGACCAGCCTATTCTTATGTAATGAGAAGACTGTTTGTATGACAGGTGTCTACCAATGAATTTGCGAGCGGAGGACCTGGCCAGTGGAGTGCTTCGTGATCGGGTGAAAGTTGGTGCTAGTTTAGCGGATGTGGACCCTATGAATCTGGACACCTCTGTAAGTCTTAGAACTCTTGTGTGCTTAGAAATGTAACTAAATGCATATGCATTCAGTGTATTACTAAGGATTCTGTTGTTAAAGAGAAGACCGATTTGCCACTGAATCTGTGCTGTGCAGACTCTCTAACAGTGTCTTTCACCTCTTTAATCCAGGTAAAATTTGACAGTGTTGGGGGGCTTGCAGATCATATTAAGTCTCTCAAGGAGATGGTTGTCTTTCCTCTTCTTTATCCTGAAGTGTTTGAGAAGTTCAAGATCCAGCCTCCAAGGTGATGCATATATGTTTTTAAAGTTGACATCAGAGAACCTTTATTTTCATGTGTTTATAGCTGTATTTAGCATTACAGCAGGCTGAGACATTACTGATGAGTTCAAAGCATTTTACAAAAACTTCCTTCTTCTGCAGGGGTTGCCTGTTCTATGGGCCTCCAGGGACAGGAAAGACTTTGGTGGCGCGGGCACTGGCTAATGAGTGCAGTCAGGGGGACAGGAAAGTGTCCTTCTTTATGCGCAAGGGTGCTGACTGCCTCAGCAAGTGGGTGGGGGAGTCAGAAAGGCAGCTCCGCCTTCTCTTTGACCAGGTTAGCCAGTTAAACCTGTGATGTGTTGGTTATAAACAAACTCATGACTCAGATTTGTTGTGTTTGTGACTGTTTGAAGAATATGTAGGGGAAAGCACACTAAATAAGTGAAACAGGGTTAAATGCTTTAAAAATGCCCTTTGTCTTACCCAGACTCATTTGTAATGTCACTTGTGGCTGATCAGTGTGGTAATACTCTCCACATCTACTTGTAGGCATACCTCATGAGACCTTCTATCATCTTTTTTGATGAAATTGATGGCCTTGCACCTGTTCGTTCTAGCAGACAGGATCAGATCCACAGGTAATTTAATTTGAATTCATTGCCTGATATTTTATTAGAAATCTGAAAATTTGACTGTCAAAAACATTTTAAAAACATTGTTTTGGATCATATTTTTATCGCTTTTTACTTCTTTATTTTTTTCAAGCTCCATAGTTTCCACGTTGCTGGCTTTAATGGATGGTTTGGACAGTCGAGGGGAGATAGTGGTCATTGGTGCTACAAACAGACTTGACTCTATCGACCCTGCACTCAGGAGGCCTGGCCGCTTTGACCGGGAATTTCTGTTCAACCTGCCAGACAAAAAGGTACCTAAATACTCTGAATAATGCTAATAGATGTAACCTGTGTCTTTTGCTTTGGGACAGACAAATCTCCCTGTGATTCTAGAGTTTTTTTTTTATAAACTGCCCATATCTTGAGTTGATGATTTCAGCTGATTTCTCAGAGCTAATTTATCATTTGCAAAATTCTGACCCACCCTTAGTTACTGTCACTCTGTCTTTCAAACATTTAGTCCAGGCCTTCCAATAGTACCTGTACCACTTACTAACTTACTAAATACTTTTACAGCACAAAGGAAAAGACACACACAGAGGAATATATATTTAAAAAAATATTCAAAATTAAACTGGCCTGACAGGACAGTGTAAATGTAGGTCAAATTAAAGCAAAAAGTGATTCTGAAAATCATATTTACATCAATCAAACCAGGGAAATCTTTAAGCCATGTGAGATTTTCATGTCTAATAAGGGAAAGTTCAAGCTAGGAAAGTGGCCCTTTCAGATGAGCTAATGCTAAAGCTAACACTGGAGCTGATCTGTGCTGAAGAGAACTCATCATCCTGTGCATCATGTCTTTTATCAAACCTGTGAAACAATGCAAATAATGGCTCGTGCTGTAGAGTGTTGAGTTATTATTTAACTTGACACAGAATATGTTTTATCACTAATGCAAGCACTGTACAGTCCAGTTTAACCTGACTGATTTATCAAGTTTATAGTCAGCAGCTAAGTTGTGAAAAGCTAACCTGGTTAGTTTACTGATCTTTACATTGTTATATGACGTTATTTATCACTAAGTATCACAAAAGCGAGAACATTTTTGTAGCTTCTTTGAAATACAACAGTTTGATGTATTATGTAAACACTGATAAGTTTCAGAAACCTACAATTGACTCCCTAGTCCAAGCAGTCAGTTTATGCCTACAGCAGTTTATCTCCCCCGTTATGAATTTATATTTAGTATTTCAGCGCCATACTGCTTTTTAAATGAGGCACAATACAGAACAGCCAATCAGAACAGAGGCATTTTACATATATAGTCTTACAGTCTTGTAGACAAAGTAACAAAAGTATCTTGTGTAATTGTAACAGATGAAGGGAATTTGGAAAATGGTCATGTAAAAATGAATTACGTCTGTTTTTGGTCTAGAAACCCACATAAATGTCATAAATGGACCTCAGAGAAAAAAATGAAATGGAAAGAAATTGTAGGGGATGGGCCCGTGTGGTGCTCCATACAGTTTAATTCCAGCTTTAGAAATTAAATAAAAACAGCATATGTGAATTACAAGCTCCTCAGTAACATTTTGCAGTTCTCATAGCCTAATTTATCTGAATAAATTCTGCAGTTCTCACTTCAGATTTGTTGTGAGGAGTTTTTCCTTCGCTTGACAGAAGAAGGAAAGCTAAGAGGTGGCTTCGATTGGCTGAGTGGCGTCAGACTTTATTTTGCAAATGACCAGTTCTAAAGTTTATACTACTAATTTACTTTACTCCAAAAAAGAGCATTTTGTTCTGTGAGTGTTGTTACTCTCCACTCTTTGGATCAATGAGATTTGTGAGTGTGGCCACTACTGCCCTGCACGTTTGTCTGAATGCCTCTGTAATTTGCCTTCACAGCAGGAGACTTGATTATTAATTTAGAGGTCTGCACTGCCACGATATCTTGCGGCACGGGAGTAATTTTCAGTGTTGCGTGCGGGAGCAAGCGCACTGGTAGTAGAATGGTAGAACGAACCTTAAATCATATATATAAACAATATAAAAGGACAACAGTAAAGCAATTAAAATGAATGAGGAGTTGTAAAGCAACTGATCACATGAACAACATACAGATTCTTGTAGGTTACAGAGACGGCTGAGCCTTCAATCTGACGGACTGCAAAACATCAAAAATAACCATTCTGTGATTTAATTCCTGCTTTTTGTTTACTTAGAATAAATGGTGTTTGGTGAAGTAACTTCACAGTGAGCCTGATGACCGTGACTGCTGTGTTATTTCAGCAGAGAGTAATGTATTCGTGAATAAACTATGTCAGAGACTGGATGGCAGTTCGCCTTGACAGAACTGTGTGGGCGGGAATGGGCCAAAACATTTCAGTTGCAGGCGGGAGTGGGACAAATCATTGCAATTTTCTGTTGGAGTGCAGTATGCAGATCTCCATATTAAAACTCATAATTTTCAAATTTGTTCTGAAGACTTCTAAATGCGTTAAGCTGTTTTGAGTTGTCTTGTTTTTCGTAATATGTTTGTTATGTATTCTCGTTTACAGGCCCGAAAGCACATTTTAAAAATCCACACCAGGGATTGGAGCCCAAGGCTGACCGAGCCCTTCGTGGATGAGTTGGCAGAAAAATGTGTCGGTAAGACTCATTGTAATTTCTAGAATCAGATCTCATGGTTTTCTTCGAAGTATTTTTAGCTGATAGTTGCTTATGTGTAAGTTAATGAAAGATGCAAGTAATTATTTAATATATTATTTAACTAATCTTATTTAATTAAGTACATTTATTTAAGTTAGAAGTTACGTAATGGATCTTCTCACTCATGTTGAGTCTTTTTCTAGGCTACTGCGGGGCCGATATCAAAGCACTTTGTACGGAGGCTGCGCTGGCAGCGTTGCGGCGGCGCTATCCTCAAATCTACCACAGCAGTCAGCGCTACAAGCTGGACGTGGGCTCCATCGAGCTTGGGCCGCAGGACTTTGGCCGTGCCTTGCGCTCCATTGTCCCTGCAGCTCAAAGAGCCCTGGCCCCACCGGGACGAGCGCTGTCCTGCACGTTGCAGCCTCTGCTGGAGCGATCACTGGCCCATGCACTCGACTGTCTGCTTCGAGTCTTCCCCCATGCAGAGCTCCCACACAGGGAACCCACATACGGTACGACAGTTTGGGCTGTCAGTAGCTGGGCTTCTGTTTACTACTAGGGAAAATGTATTTATTTGCAGGTCAAAAGAATGGAAGTTAACCATTCAGCGTTTTCCATCCACCTCCATTTTGAAAGTGTGTGTTAAAAAACCTGAATGGAAAAGCCAGAAGTAAAAAGTTGCTTTATCGATAAAGGAAAAGTGTGAAAAATGTATTTAATAAAAAAAAAAAGTATGCCATTTTTCAATGCTGGTGTCATTATAAAAGTTACGTTTGGATTAACGTTCCGAGAGGTTCAATGGGTGACGGCAAAGTGGGACAGTGACTTCAGCCCCTCATTAAACAGGCCGCTGCCCGTTCCTCTCTATTCTGATTTATTTCAGGAAACAGAGTTATAGATTTTTTTTTTTCATATTTCAAGAATATTTTTTAATTAAGGCAACTTGCCCACAACAAACACGTTTATTGATATCTTGTTTAACCAAAGAAGTTTTTACCACAGTATTCTATTGGTTTGTGGAGATGTATTCTTTGTCCAGCTTGGTGAGACTGTTTTGTTAACAAAGTATTAATTGTTTGTCAAAAAGGTGTTCTTGAAACATAGAAACGATGAAACATTACATATCTTTTAATTCAGAAAAGATAGTATGCTGTCCTAGCCTATCATTGTACATTCTCAGTCCATTTTCATGAACTTCCCAAACCTTGTTACACCAGCTAGTTTCAGTAGATTACACACAGTGATTTAATTTTTGCTCCATATTTCTGCAGGGAATACGTCTCCCGCTCCTTTTAATGACTTCAATTTGCTGGACTGCTCTCTCCATCTCAAATAACTCATAGACTGACTTATAGCTCTAATAAGCCGGGAGTTTTTTTTCTCTGAAGCAATTACTTCAGTACATAAATGCTAGTTTAGAGGAAGAAGTTTTAAATAGGTTGTGTCAGACTAATGAATGTGGCATATGTCTTAATAGAAATGCTGTAACATACTGTACTTTCCGATTAGACTAATGTCTTCAATTTTCTCTGCTCAGATTTGTATTGCTGTAGATTTAATGGAGAAATAAGTCTAGGCATGTTACAGCTGTTCCAACAGTAAAATTTTTTTAATAATGACAATTTTTTGGTTTCGCCAATGTTCCATAGACACTGACAATCAGCTGCTTGAGGAGGACTCTTACAGCGAGGGTGAGGAAGGGGCTGGTGCTCAGTCCATTTACGATGCTAAGCCAGGATCCCCAAAGAAAACAGACTCCTCCACAGCGCACAAACCCTTCCTACATTTTACCACGTGAGTTACAGGCACAGATACACTCCACTCATCGTTAACTAACAATTTGTCTGTATCTGTTTTTGAATAGAGATGCATCAGTACTACTGTTTCAGAGCTAATACAGTTTTCCTTACTAAAGTATCTGCTGATGCTGCTTAATGATACTAGTCTGGTTATATTCCACAGATATATTTGGTTAAAATGCTGCCAGTTGCCTCAAAATGTCTGGAATATGCGTTTCTTAGTTCTGGAAGCATTCTTTCAGTAGTTCACCTGCCCAGTTCACAAGTCAACTAGAATGCATAAAATGAAGAAAATGCTTTAGTAACGCTATAAAAAAGGCTTAAAAGGCTTCCATGAAAAGTTTACCAAGGGATGAAATCAATACAGTAGACATTTCAACCTGTCTGGATTCATTTTATGCATCTAGTGAATTGTGGACTATGAAGAAGCTTAACCAACACAACAGGAAAAAGTAAACTGAAAAAAAGGAATGAGGAGCAAAATACGAGTGCTTAATATGTACTTGCGTCAAATATGGATTATTTTCCTCCCAAATATACTTCAGCAGAACTGAACTATGTTTTAGTTTTAAAAAATACTCAGCAAAATGTAGGTTCATCAAAATTTTACTTGGGCACGTGTAACTTGGTAAACATAACTTGTTACTGCCCACTTCTGGTCATAAAAGCCTAACTTGAGTGTCTTCAGTGTATCTTTTCCATGTCAAATTTAAGTGATTTTGCTGCCCTCTATTGGCCTTTTTCAGAATAACGGCTTAATATAGTCAGCCTAGCACAAGCCAAAGAGAGAAGGAGAAGTTCTCGTTGATATAGACACGTTTTGCTGACTACCTTTTTTTTAACAGGTTGACTAAACTCTGTGTAATGTGTTAGGCATTAACTGGTGAGCGCAATTTTTCTAATAAGATGTTTGTGACCTTTAGATATTGATGTACTGTTTGTGACAAATTTGTTTTGCTGGTGTTTGTATAGTTCATTGAACTCATTTTAGATGTCTTGTGTTCACTAAAGAAAAAAAGCAAAAAAAGGATCATGGAAGCATGGAATTTGGCCATTACCCTCACAGCAGTACACCATTTTTTTCTGATTCTTCCTGTCAGCGTCTTTTTCAATTGAATGTTATGGAGGTGCAAGTGGATGCTTTGACTGATGCAGCCGCCTCCAGCCTGTGACCTGGACTTCCTCGTAGTTCTCTTTTAGTTCTGGCATTTCCCGTAAAGAATTTAACATTATGGAGTTTATTCCCCATGAATTATTTTACTCTCTAAGCAGTTATTTCAAACTTGCATTGTCAAAAACTCCCTCTATTCTTTAATGATGTGGCAACTTTGTACCTAACATCTCAGCAGAATGTATCCAAGTCTGTAGCAGGTTTTATCTGCACTATGTCAGCATCTGCACTGGAGTGTGTCCACTCCTTAACAGTAAGCTGCAAATTTCTAACCTTGATTGACTCCATTTAAATAGCCATAACTTTTCGGTTAGTAGGCCTGACCAAGGAAATGAAACTGCTTGTCAGACATGTAATCATGAACTTACAGGACAAATGGCCAGAGATTGGAACTATTGCAATCTGCCATACAGCCCTATGTATAGTCAGCTGCTCCTTTCTCTGTGATGCTATGTATGTGTGTATATATATATATATATATATATATATATATATATAATGTGTATGTGTGTGTGTGTGCGTGCGTGCGTGCGTGTGTGTGTAGAGAGAGAGAGAGAGAGAGAGAGCGAGAGAGAAGCAACAATGCAGACTGCAAGTTAGTATATGTATGTATTTTTTTAATATATTTTTTTATTAAGCAGGTCTGCCTACCAGCAGCCCACCTCGTACCGGCCGCGGCTGCTTCTAACAGGGCCTCAGGGTTCAGGCCAGAGCACGCACCTGGCTCCTGCCCTGCTGCATCACCTTGACAAGTTCACTGTGCACCGCCTCGACCTGCCCACCCTCTACTCAGTCAGTGCCAAGACCCCGGAGGAGTCCTGTGCTCAGGTAAACACTCATGCTTCCTTCTAGGTTTTGCTCTCAATTTTTCAGGTTAAGCTGTGCATTTTATTAGCAAGCTGTTTATCGCTCTTTTTTATGACGGCGATGTAGTGTTTCAATATTTTATAGACTATTAAATGTGTTGCTTTAGGAAGTAAATAATCATGCTTTTAAAATGTCTGTCTACAGAAACGTGTTGATTAGAGTTGTAGTCCCATTTTACCATCTCAAGTATCAAACCTTTATTCTTTATCCTTTAGCTGAAAAGATTGTCATACGTTCATGTTAAGCCAGCAAATCATTTGTTTAGACCAAAAATGCTTTGCAGGAGTTGTCATTTTCATGAACTGTGAATACTTATGATCCCAACTTAAAACAGATCTCTTCATGAATGGCACAGTCATTGTAGCTTGACGAGAATTAAGCATTATAACATCTTTGCCTGAAAATCATATCTCTTCGAAAAGATATTTGCTGATATTTATTAATGAGATATACCACAGTATTCAACACACAATATTGTTATTACAGACACTTTACAATACCATCACTGCATTTTAGTCAAACAAGTTGATTTTTGTTGCATGTTTATACATATTTATGGGGCTTAAAATTGGTAAAAATGGTATCAGCACACAGAGGCTTAAATGTTGACATTAATTAATTAATTTTTTAATGTGAAGCCTATAAAACTAACAAATTATCAAAATGTAATTTTACCTCAATTTACAAGATGGCGCTAATGAGTCAGTTACTAATGGCGCATATTTTATGTTTTTCTTCTTTTCGTAATTAGTTTCTTCATCTGAAACTTATTTATATTGTTTGTGTGGGATTATGTGCCAAAGCTAGTCAATTTTATTCAATTTTTAGGGATAATGCCTAATCTGAATGTTGATATGTCTACTTCACAGTTGTGTATTACATCTATTAAAAAAAATAGTGAGATAAACAAGTGTGAACTTTATAAGACAAAACAAAATTTTCTTTTAGAGTAATAATTTGCATAAATCATACATATTTTCTTAATACATTAGTGCTTTCCTGCTTAGCACAATATTGTGATGATATTGTTATATTAGGTTAGGTAGTTATTGTGATAATACGTTTTCATATCAACACATGCCAAGCTTTAAAACTCACGGGTTAATGTTTAAAAAGTTTTTGTGATGATAATGTTGGTACTGATACTGAGAAATTTCTATCCCTGACTGAATATGTATCACTGAGATTGTAGTCTAACAGGGTACTAGTAGACAAAATATTAGATATCTGATTAGCAAGGGCACCATAGCAACAGTGTAAGAATAGCACAGACTCATGTTTGTGTTAACAGTAACTGAGAGGATTGTGTATGTTTGTGCGTGTGCTGACTCCAGGTGTTTCGGGAGGCACGGCGGAGCGTGCCCAGTGTAATCTACATGCCCCACATCAGTGACTGGTGGGAAGCCATCAGTGACACAGTGAAGAGCACCTTCCTCACGCTTCTACAGGACGTTCCCTCCTTCACACCAGTCCTCATCCTCGCCACGGCAGAGAGCATCTACCAGCAGCTCCCTGAGGAGGTGAGAAAGTTAATCTCATCTATCTAACTTGTCTAGTCTTTAGTGTCATGAATTAATGAAGTTAAGAAATGGGATTACTATTAGTCTTATTTCAGATAATTTTTACAAATTATACATTTTATAAATTATTTCTTTTCCGATCAAGGTTTGCCCTTTGTACTTTAATGAAAGTTGATTATTGGGTATTACTGCTCCAGTCTTTTTCATTGTGCTTTAGATAGATAGATCTTTTAAATGTGCTACATAATTTAGTTAAGATGCTAGGCTGCTGGAAAATTGGAATTTTTTCTGTTATTTTCTTTCAGTTTGAAGTGGCAGAAGGCAGATTTGAAGTGTAATAGCCACACACTTGTATTTTATCTGTTTGTTTTGGACAAATTGTAGTTACCTCAAGCACAGTTGAAACACTGCCACTACAGATATTACAGGTCTTCATATTCCACTGTAAAAGAGTTCCAGACATTGAGTTCTCTTGTTAAAATTCTACAAATGCACTTCACGTCACCAGTAACTGGATTGCACTTAATATTGCCAATGCCTGATCTACTGAAATATTCTTGGATTGGCTGCATTCCTGATTATTTGGGATCAGATTGCGATTAAAGAGGTGTCAGCATTAAATGAACATACTTTGACATAGTTCATCAATGTCAGACTGCATTGATGTACATACTGGTAATAGCAATTGGTATTTTAACGTGTTTCATATTTTATACAAGCTTCTGTATTCTTGTAGCCCATGAGTATATTAACCTATTTGATTCCTTGAAATAAGTTTATTTCCACAGTGTTGCGCTTATATTTATTTAGGGACCGTTGCATTTTTAATGCTGTATCTGTTCTGTGCTATAAGCTCCTGTAAGGTTAGTTTAGTTTTCCTTTCGTCATGCTACATTATTCTGGAAACTAGATCTGTTTTGACAGAAGATTTAAAAACAAAGTGCCAAATTAAGTTAAAATTTACTTCACTCAGAGTCTGTCTTAGAAAAACATGCTGCTCCAGCCAAGCTTGGCATCCCCGTCACTGCTGGAATCTCACACTCAAGACGACTGTGAAATGAGATAAATGTGTTTGGGCATACTTTTGATTTCATCCATGCTGCTGGACACGATAGTTGTGATAATTAACCAACTTTGTCAGTCCTTCATTTTGAAATTAATTGATTTTCAATTAAAGCTGCTCAGTGAACTGTATTTTAATCGTCATCGCGATATGACTTTTCACGATTAACAAATCACAAAGTGATAATGGAACAGCTCAAATTATATTACCCACACTCTGCTAGAGTGCAACATTTCACAGCATAGACTTATTTGCGTAGTTTGAGAGCAACGTTTACTTTTTGATTTATTCACTTAAACAGCTATGCCATTGTTAACCCCTGGCCTATAAAAATACCAGAAGACAAGCATTCTATAAAATGTGTCAGACAGAGATGATTACTGTCATGTTAATCAGAACAAATCTGCACCACAACACAAAGTGCTTTTTAAGATATCACTTTTTTCCAGGCTGTTTTTGTAACAGCCTCACAATGCATATAATATGTTTGTGTTGTGAATAGTGAATAGTGATTTTGTAATTTTGTCTTTTTTGCTGTTTACTTAACCCTGCAAGGACGCATACGTGTCCTCCAATTCCTCAGTCTCCTAACTATATAACTTACATTGTGGAGTCAGAGTAATTACTGAATAATATAATATGTGACGATTAATAACTGAATAATAAGTCTGCAGGTTAAACAATTAAAGAAAAGATTAATTGATGCTGCTTTTAATCAACAAACAGTGTGAAAGCATATTGGGTAAACAGGATGTTCGCTTGACTGTTGTCTACTGCTGAATAAACCTAATGATATTAAACAGATAATAAATGAATACATTTGGTAATAATCATCAAATGATAAATACTTTTGAATAAACTTGAAAAATAGTTTCATATTTTTAAATTAATTACACAGCAAAAACAAACTCATTTTCAGTCTTTACCCACTGCACATTGCATATTTCTTACATAAATGTATTTTTGATATACAGATATGCAGTTGTAAATTATAATATACATCACATGATCCAACAACTTCATTGTACATTGCATTTTAGATTCATTTTGTGCCACACTGGTGCAAATGAAAATTCATCCTTACAATTTTTGGTTGCCGTTTTCATTTGCTGATTTTCTGTTGATTGGGTGGCAGGGGGCAGTAGATTGCTTCGGGTTGATCCATTTTGTTTTGAAAACTACTGAGTCACTATTCAGGTGGGATACTGAATATATGAGAACATGAATGAACTGCATTAAAAAGATGTCTTCTCCCCACATATGTTGCCTGGTCCCTGACGCCTACTTTAGTGGGTGACCTTTATAACTCAAGGCATATTTTCAACTGGTGAACTAGACTAATGGTCTGCATTCTGCTTTGATATTCAAGAAGTTGATATTTTGACCTCAGGTCTCTAAGCAAACTGCCTTTAATTATGTCTTTTTTTTTATTTTTATTTTTAACACAGCCTGTAATGTTATTTGATTTGATCTGATGCTCTGGTGCTATCCTGGAGTAAATGAGGCTTTCATGTTTTCATTTCGTTGAACATTTATTAATGTGTATATGTCAGCCTTTAAGCCTGCTACAACTTTAAAATGAACCCTTTTAAATGACCTTGGCCTTATTGGTGCTAAATCAAACAGTGGTTAACAGTTAAAATCCATACTGGTAAGGCAACCACTGCTGGTTCAGGTTGGTACAGGAAGACAAATAGTGCACAAGAATACAAAATACAAGGTTTAGCCAAGGTCAGTAACAGCTAGATCTTGTCTATCCTGTTCCTTAAACTTCTCTTTTATTTCCCTTCCATCTTCTTATTTCTGTCTGCCTGTGGACTCTCTCTTTGCCCACTTGGCTAAGAAGCCCCAATATCAATAGGCCCATTCTTTTACTCTGATGTCCTCCTTCTTTATTAAGTTTCATCCTTCTTCTTCATCTGCTACTGACACATAGTAATGACACTATTCCCCTCTTCTCTCTCTTTGTGTTTGTTTTTTTTTCTTTTTTTTCAGCCTTTGTTTTAGTCTCCTTTTTTTCTTTTCTGTTCTTATATCCATCATTTCTGTTTTTCCACCAAGGTCAATGGGTGCTTTACAATCATTTCACTGGTTTGAAGGAAAACAGAGTGAGTGAGAAAGAGAGTGAAGTGCAGTGTGAAAGCACACATCAAAAAAGAGCCTCCCTAATTACGCCAGTGGGGTGCTGCTCTGGCAGGGCCGTGATTTCACCCTGCGAAGAGCCGTCAAGAGCCTGCAGAAACCCATGCTGTGAACCCAGGCTACCTAGAGTGCGCTGCTGGGGGCATGATTGGCTGGTGGCGAAGCCCTTGATCGTAGCCCTGACAGAGAGAGTGCTGCCCACCAGGTGGGCACCGGGGTGCAGGGAGGGGTAAGGCCGCTAATTTTAATGACAGAAGCTGCTTGCTCTTTCTCTCCAAGGTATGTTCATTAAAGGCTGACTTCTTCCTCCCAGAAAGGAGGATTTATAATTGATTGTAGATTAGGTTATCTCTGTTATTTGCTTATAGTATCTGTTGTCGCATGGGATTCGGTCCCTTTCTGTCTGTTTAAATCTGATGCATGCTGTTCTGGAAAGGAAGAGTTTTAAGGGCAGATTTACTAAAACTGGTGCTAATTACTGATATTCTACTGACACTTTGCACTGTGAGATTGGACAGTTCATCAGCAAACTTTTGTTTAGTTAATTATGTATTTATATATTTATTTACTTCCACTTCCTTGATTCTGTTTCAAATCTTGACTCATTTGGTCCAAAAATGTATTTATTTTCTGAAGATTTTGACAAAGCAATGACTAAGTAAAAAAAAAGATTTATTAGATAAAGCGAAAGTATGTGATTATTTCGACACGAGTCATTATTTTGAGAAAATAAGACTATTATTACTACTTGTAATTAGAAAATAAAACTATGATTACTACTAGTAATTATTAAGACTTTGTGTTTCAAAACATACCCATTAGGGCAGATGAGCTGAACTTGAGTTCCCTGCCGAGTGCATTTGGAAACCTTGTAAGATTGAAAAGTCCCTGTTTAATTTCACTGCATGCATCTTGGTCATTTGGGAACTGCATGATTTTGAGCTAATGACAAGTGTAACCTCTTAGCTACGTCCAGTGCATCGAAGGCTTTGCTTTTCTGCAGCAGAAGCTACAGCACACAAAGTAATGACTGGTTTAGTAAAGCAAGGATTGCATGGCCAAAAGAATTCTAACACATGCTTTTTACAGTTGTTTGGAAAAGAACTGTCAAATGATTTTTTTAGGCAAAACCTACTCTTAAAACACTTTGATGAGTGTAGTAAGATTACCCAAAGTGTTAGGAAATAGCAGTTTATACACTGTTTCTGATGATTTTTTCATTTGCTTCGTCAAATTAAAGATGATATGATGTGGCAGGTGTCCACATTTTTGGCCCTTAATATAAAAAAGTGTGTTCAAAAAACACTTTGTTTTCTTTGTCTCTGAGCACAAACTGCATCCATATTGGTGTCAAAGATAAGACAAGCTTTTCACAGGTATTAAATAATGCACAGTCAGTCTGTACTATATGTTTTAGTAAATCAGAGTAGGATGTTCATTATAATCATCTACTCCCAGTGTTCTGCACTTTGAGACAGGAGCTCCTATAAATGCATATGCAGTGCAAAATAGCAGTGACTGCCCCTTTTGTCTTATTACGGGCACTAAAAGCTTTCTAATGCCAAAAGGATGTTTGCAACTGCACAAAATGTGATGTAACCTGACCCTTAGTTCGTTTCAGTTCCTTTTACAGCAGAGTGTTTTAGCTTCTGGTTATAGCTCTTTGAGAAGTGTGCTTTTAATGTTACAGACTAGGTTAGCACCACTTGACCTTTAGTCTAATAACATAAAAATGGTTCCTATAAAAATGGTTTGTTCTAATCACCCATTTTGGAATAGACAAAAAATTCAGAGC